TTCTCCTTCTTCCTCCCCACTGGAATGAAACCCTAGCTTCCATCATCACCCACGCCAAAAACTCTTTCACTGATTCTTTTCCTTCATTCATCTGTTTTGTGCGATTGTCGCTCGTTCCAGAGTTCCTGAACTCCGGCTTCCTTTTCTCTACATATTGCAGAACAGCCAGGTATATTTTCAAGAAATTAAACATGGGGGACGCCGGATCCTTCACGCGACAGGTAAATCCCTAACTGTCATTTCAATTTCGTCTCAATGTCGGTTGGTATATAGGAAAGCGACATTACAACTAATTCATCTTTTCTTGCTTGCTGTCTTGAGTCTGTCACTGTGGAAGAATATGTTGTTTTAAAATCTATGTTGAACTTCTTTTTATGCGCTGCGTGATTATGTCTCTCCGACTTTTGTTTCTTCGTTCGTTCGTTCTAGGAAGAGAAAGTAAACATGGGACAAAAGCAAGGGATAGATTAAGCTAGACTAATACTATCTCCGGTCCTGATTATAAGATTTTGTTTATAGTCTATAAACGAGGTCTTATAAATAGGATTAGACGTAGTACTAACTTCCTTCCTTTACATAAGATATAGACAACTAATTTGTGAATATTAAGAATATTAATTTAGTTATTTATAATAAATGGATGTTAATTTTTTTCTAAAATATCTTTATTAATAATGTGTATTAGAATAGAAACCATTTGACATATGTAATCATTATGAAGACTATTTTGAAAAAGAAAAGAATAAATATGGAAGATAAAATGAATTAGGATTTTATATTTATGAACAAATTGAATGCCTGATTAATTCTTATATTTAAGATCCGGCAGAGACAGTAACAAAACTTCTTTTGTTTTGCAATTAACTAGCTATTAGTAATTGATTGATTATTCTGATACTCGAAAATATACATGTTCGATCAGTTGACATAGATATTACATAGTAAAATATTTGTTGGTTGTGCCACTGCAAGTTAGGATAATTAGTTGTCAAACATCAAGAACAGAATTCTCATTCATGCATGGTGTGTCTTCAATGCTCCTCCCTTGTCTTATCTGTTAACACTGTCAGTGCCTTCCTTTTCTAGCCAGTTACAATTCGGTATCTGCAATATGTCAGTGATTGGTAATCCTAGGACAATTTTGACAGATTTTACACAGATTATTCAGTTGTATTTCTACACGTTACTTATTGACATGTATGGTAAATTACATATGCTTTTAGAAAAGGCATTTTCCATCATATCATAAATTATATTGCTTGAAATATCATGTTTATCCAAAAAAATGTCTTTACGAAACTAAACTTTGACAAACTTGAATAAAAAATATTAAACTTTAAGAGGTATTTGAATTAGCCTCATATGAAAAAATTTTGTCTCATCAACCTATATATAAACACCTTTTTTAAGTGACTATAAAGGATTGCCAAACTTCTCACTCCCATTATTTCACATTGATGTCAGTGTGACTAGAAATAGGCATAAAGCCAAGGTAGGACTTGGGAGGGCCGTATTGCTAGCGCCTCTAAACGCTGAGTTTAAAAAGTGACCTTTAATTTAAATTATGCACATTAAAAATTATTATATAATTTAGATTCAACAAGATTTTAATATTTTGACAAAAATTGTAATGCAAAATTCAATGATATGTATCTAGGCCTCTCTTCCTATTATATTTATTAATAAAAATAATATGATTTTTGGCCAAAAAGCAAAATTATTTAAAAATTAATCAACATCAATGCTTCACTGAAGTTTAACACACAATTAGTTTAAAACAAAATTAAAATTAAAGGCCAAAAGAAATACTCCTATGGTTCTATTTATAGAAAAGAGAAAAATTTTTTTTGTCACTTTATTAAATTTTTACCATAAATATGCTATATTGTCCTTTATTTATTAAAATATAGATAGTTATTTTTTCTAAAGATGTATATATTATACATGGATAAAGTTGAAAAGTTATTATATTTTAATAGAGAATTAATACTATTTAAAATGTTTTTTGATATGTACGAAATATATTAAAAGTATTTTATACTAATAAATAGGACAAGAGGAGTAGCATTAAATTAAGCGAACACTCACTCCCACTGACCACTGTGGTGCATTAAAGACTTTTTCGTTACTTTGTTCCCTCAAGTTCAGACAATGTGATGCCCGCCTTTCCTGGAAAACCAGCTCCTCCCTCTTGCTTCCCCGCCGCTCCCACGAAAACCCCTCTTTCTTTGCCGCACGGCTTCGTGCTTTTCCGTCGACGCTAAACCCAGGTTTTGCTAATTACGTTCTGTTTCGAAGTTTTCCGGTTCCTGATTTTTGCTAGTCTGCTTTCAAGAAAAGTTATTTCCGGGGCAGATAATAGGCAACGTGAGGATGCCATGAATTTACTTATGGAGGTAAATATGTAATCCCTTTCTCTTTCTTATGTTTGATTACCGTTACCATTATTTTGGATCGAAAATTACTTCATGATGGAACGGTTCCATTGTTGCTGGTTGGTCCCTTGCAGATATTCCGATGGGAATTAATCCTTATCAGCTGTATAAGTCTAATTGTTGGTTTTGAGTCTGTTTCTTAATTTAATGGCGCTAGATAAAATACAACGATTTATATCACTCAGATATTTAGTCGCTATTTTGGCCACCAAAAAGATATATAGTCGTTATTTGATCAAAATTTACCTTTCCATCATCTCCAGGACGACAATCATTTCCTTTTTTAACGTTGGCACTACTCTCTCTGTGTGTGTGTGTGTCTTCTTACTTCTCAACTTTTGTTTGAACTTCTTTGGTTTTTTTTTTTGGCCTGAACTTCTTTGGTTGATTAATCGTTCCTTTTAATTTTACATTTTTTAGACTTCTGACTCGTGTATTGTTTCCAATCTACTATCATTTGAATGCTAATTACCCGAGTTATATACTTTATAAGTTTTATTTTATTTTCTGATTTCATTTTTTTAATTTTCGAAATTGTATTGCTGTTTATAGTTTAGATACCGAAAATTGGGTCTCTGTTGATTTTCTATACACGCACATACGCATAGATGAAAAATGGGATCTGTGTACCGTGTCTTTGTCTAAGCATCTAGCTAAGATTCTTGGATGTAGATATGGGTTAGATGTTACTGTTAGGTTTGCATGTCTAGAATTGTATAACTGACTTAAAATATCTCCAGATATGATTATTTCCACCTTTCACGTATATAGCAACAATCTTTCATCCTTTTTATTCGTTTTTAATAGTCAAATACAATGCATCATTTCCTGGATAATTCAATTCACTTACCATGCCAAATAAATTTAACTTGAATTTTCATTTTTATCGTTGTGATTTATACTAAAAAATCTGCTTAATTGTAATTTACAACAATGAATGATTTGAGTGTTAATATGAGCAGAAAATTCTGTTGTCTCAAACAGTTACCAGATCACGTAACAAACAATATATATCCTCCAACTCTTTTACTAAGGGTAGTACACATAGGGCTTTTGTGTTCTTTTATTGTTTTCCCACGAGTCTGGTGTAGGGATTGTCCCTTGAGGAGAGACACTACTCGCCAATGTGAGTGTACCTAGCAGATTTCAATGTGACATCCTTGCCATATCTGTGCCAGGAGTTTTTCCTGAGAATCGTGAACACATCATGAGCTACAGTTTGCTGCATCACTTAATCTGCTTAATATGAAACTATGAGTGCATGCAGATCAATTCCTTGTTTTATTCTATGGACTATGGTTAAAACCAATATGTGTTATCTTTTCTATGAACGTCATACGGTAATGAAAAGTTTGTTAGTCCTATCATGAAAATATTTTCTGTCAAAAGCATTTTATTGAGGATTTCCTATATTTTAAAACTTGATTTATTCAATGAACTCGATGATGCATGCTTTGCTTGACCTTATCTTTGTTTTCTTTTTTTAATGAATAATCGAATTTGCGAGCCCTTATCTAAACTTCCGTCTCCACTCTTTGAGGTTGGCTAAGTTGGTTGCTTTTGCCTTTTTTATTACCTACCTTCTTGCACGTTTCAGATAATTTCTGGTTATTGGTGGCTGCAGAATTCATTGTTACTCCGATGATCATAAATGCAACGAAGTGAGATATAAAATGTGAAATTAAACAGGTTATGGCATTGTTGGTAAATTGTATATTGTTGATCTCATTATTTTTTCTACTTTCCTCCATATTTAAGGTTAATTTCTTGTTTTTGGCGCCTGCAGAATTCGAAATTTCTCTGATGATCATAGATGCAATGAAGTGAAATGTAAGGTGTGGAACTAAACAAGGTATGACATTGTTGGTAAGATTGTATAGTGTTGATCTTTTTGTTATTTTTCCAAAAGAATTATGTGTGAGATAGGATCTGATTTTTCTATTGAACATGATGTTGTATTGCATCTAGGAAACATGCAGTTGGAGAGATGTTTCGTCATACTAGAATTAATTGTCAAGTTTACAATGACCAATCTTGTAAGAATACAGTGAGAATCTTATAATTGCAATATAACTTGCTTTTTTCAGCTAGCTAGTCTACGAGTCTTGTTATTCATGTGGAGTTTGAAATAAAGAACTTATAGTTTGAGAAACGGAACTACTCATACTGCTCTCTATAGTAGCTTTGTCCAGTGAATTTTTCTTTGCTCATACTGTTGTGGCCTGTAATACCTGATGATAAACCATAGTTCATCATTTCGGATGAGATTAAATCGCAACTTTTAGTGTATATAATATCTCCCTATCTTCCAATTAAATTCTTTTTACCATAAAGGTCAAATGCCTTGAGTTCATTATCACAAAAGTCTACGGTATACCTCGTGACTGCTATTCTGGTCAAGTATAAATCTTTCCACAGCATCAAATGAAGTGTACATCTTTTGTAGTTCTTTTTTTTTTTTGGGGGGGTGTTTGGCAGCATAAAGAGTGGAAATTATGAATGAAACTTACCTCTTTTCATTGTCAGTTTTCTCTTCTTTCTCCTAGCCCTGCTAGATTTTCACGTTAACAAACTCTTAAGTAGTCCAAACTCATCAGACAGTATACAAGTTAATTATGTACTTCTTGCGAAATTATCGTGTATATTCTGTTCCCTGGGATTCATGAATATTTCTGCTTTAGGTGGCACTCTTCAAAATGTCTTTGGTAGTTGTATGATTCGAAAATTAAATAGTCTAAGTTGTAACCTTGCTGATTAATTCGTCTTGTATGGCCTGTCTTGGGATTCTTGTGAAAATTTCTCTTTGGGATAAAACTAGTGAGGGATTATGGAGCTACTTTAGAAATAGATATCAACAATAAGATGACGCCACATGTGACGAAAGGTTTTTATAGAACTTCCAAAGGCAGACGCGGCGAGCGTTAGCAGGGAACAAAGAAGTGATCGAGTTAATGCCCTGTGAAAGGCGTAGCATGGCTTCAGCAGAAGGTGTAATCATTATAATTTATACTCCTTTCTTAGTGTATCAGATAGCAAATTTCTTAACGAACACCATCAAATAGAATGGAAGTGCCTGGTGAGAGTCATTATAATTACATAGGTGTCAGCCCCTAAATGGGGACTTAAGATCGTGGGCACATAATGATGAAAGACGGATGATAATAAAAGGAAGGGTCCATCCAAATTTAGTAGAAAGACACGTATGGTTATTTAGATAGAAACGATAACAATACAGTTGTGAAACACGTTTGATTATTCGAGTATATATCTAGCTTGTGGTTTGATCAGATATGCTGAGAAGTTGCTCCAGATATTCTACACCCAAGTCCTCCAGCACCACCACCTCTGATTGCTGTTTGGCTTTGCCTTTCCTAGCCTTTGACGACTGTTTTCTTTGGATGTAGTGCCTCTCTTTGAGGGCCAAAGCAGGCGAATGCCCTTTGCGGCAGCCATACTTGATGTGTTGCAGAGACTCCTTCACCTTTTCCACAGGAAAATTGAGAACAGCGTTATTGCCTCTCATGGTGAATGCAGCTTGGTCATAAGCTAAAGCAGCCTCCTCGGCAGTCTCGAACGTTCCCAGCCAAACTCTGATCCCATTCCTGGTGGTATCTCTGATCTCTGCCGCAAATTTCCCCCAAGGTCTCTTCCTCACCCCGATGTACGATCTTCCCTTAACAGTCTTCTTTGTTTCGATGGCTTCTGAACTCACCGGCGCTTGATTCGCCTCCCTGTCAACCATATCGAAGCAGAGGTAATCATGGAAGGGGTCTTCGTGATGAAGTTGGTCGCTTGGCAGAGAAATCAAAAGCGCATCAGAGGGCTCCTGCCAGGACTCCCAATCTGGGCAGGGGTGCCGCGCTGACGGCGAAGACAGTGTTGCAGTCATGTTTGGATTATTGTTTTGTGCGGGATGAGTTAATATGATATGCTACTCATCTCATCGTTGCTTATATAAGGCTCGATGGCTGATGCTGGGCTTGTGTCAGCGCCCACCACAATTTTTTATGTCAACCAATAGTGGTGGTTCTTGACACAGCGTTGGGTTTTGGGGAGTATTATATAATACCATGCCTTCTACATCTATTTTATTCTCTCCATTAATTAGTGTTTTAGACTTTTTTCTTGTTTTCAAATTTTCGTCGTTTTTGGGGATTCAAGGCCTGATCATTTTTTTGGGGTCAAGATGTACCCTTAATTATATTTCTCTTTTATCGTCTCTTTGTGGAAAGGAAATTCGTTCAAAGAAAAAGAAACTCTCTTTTGATTAATTTTTCATTGAAGGCTGACTTCCGTCAAACATAGGAAGGAGTGTCTTTCATCAAATTATAGCTGAGGAAACGACACTTCTTTTACAAACCATTAACCCCTACTTCTAAATATAAGGACTAGTTGACTAATATAAATAGATTAAGAAAATGAGTTAAGTTAGTTATTTTGTAATAAATAGATATTGTCTTTTCTAAAATATATTTGCTAATTAAATGCATTAACTAGACCTACTATTATTAGAAGGATTACCTTGAAAAAAATATATAAATATGAGAGATAAAGTAGATTATGATCTTATATTTAAGACTAGAATAAAACCAAATGAAATCTTAGATTAAGAACCGGAGGTTATATTAACATTGTATCTTTTTATAATTTAAGGCTATTGATGTCTTTTTCAAATCAGTGATATTTGTGTCTTTTTTTTTCTTTTTCTTTTTCTTTTTTAACATTCAACTATCAACATGTAAATTGATTTGGGCTGTTTGGAAACTCTCATGCTATTTGGATTAGTTTTTTAAAAGTGATTTTATAAGGTCAAAGGTAAACATGTAGGAGGAAATTTGTCTCATCTTATCTCTCTCTCTCTCTGTTTTTTTTTTCAATTTCCCGAGAATTTTTTCGCTATGCAAATCAAGACAAGATCTTTATCTTATTTTACTTTCTATCTCTTAAATTAGGTATATTAATTAAAATATGACAATATTTTATATTAATAATAAATTTTAACGTACGTGTATAGCCTGAACTAACAACAATTTTAAAATGAGGGCAGCAATAATGAAGACAAAAATATAGCTCATGTCAGCTGTTTCAAACCATTCAGTCTTGCAGCCCTTCGTTTAATGGTTTGTTTTGTGTTTGTTGTCATTAATCATAAAAATCAATATATAAAATGAAAAAAACTCATCATGAATTACATTATATATATTTATATAGAATATTATATAAAGTAGTAGCAGTATGACTTACCTTAGATTATATGGGATTCTCAACTCTTCTGTGCTGGAGTCTAAATGACTTAACCGATCTAAAACGGCATTTTTTTTCAATATAAACTACATATCATTCACAAAAAGTTGTCATAAAAAGGCGAAATTCTTATTTGTCAATAAACAGTACCAAAATTAACCAAATTAAAAATAAGCTGAAAATACTGGCATTAGAACACTCCCTTTTGATGTCAAGATAAGGTCTATCTCTGTGTTTTAGTTTGATTCTAAATAATCCTACCTCTAATTCTTAGTATAAGAGTTAGTTTGCCTTTTAATTGGATCTTAAATATAAGATCTCAATCCAATTTATCTCTAACATTTATTATTTTTTGGCAAAATAGTTTTTGTAATATTTACACATGCTAAATAATCTCTAATATTTATTATTTTTTGGCAAAGTAGTATATTTACACAATTTATCTCTAATATTTCATTAAATGGTTGTTTTAGCTAATATACATGATTAGTAAAGGTATTTTAGATAAGATAACACTGTTTTATTTGAAATAATTAACTTAATAAACTTTATTAACATACTCAAATTAGTTAACTAGTTTTTATATAAAGAGTGCAGGTAGTATAAGGTTTCATTCTCTCCTGCTTTCCCATAACACCTGCTCCTATTTGTTGGAATATTTTTTTTGCTCATAAAATTTTAATCAATGAATAGCCGGGGTATTTTTAAAGAAGTGTCACAAAATTCTCTACATATTAAATACAAATAATTAATTTTTTAATTATGAGAATTATATTTAATTGCCATTAGTATTTAGAATAGGAGGGGTAACATTTCTCAAGGTCTCGTAGCTATGGTATAATACAGTTTATTGTTGGCAAAAAATAAAAAAAGAGTACTCATATAGTCCTATTTATAAGGTAGGAAAAAAAGATATTTTTTTGTCCTATTTATAAGGCATTGAAAAAATTTGTATGAATGTGCAATTTTATCATTCATTTATTATTGTGTTTACTTTATTTATATGAAGTATACCATATATTAAATAAGGGATAAAGCTAAAAAGTTATTGAATTTTAAATAATAATTAATAAAATTTAAAGTTTTTCTTAATTTGTATGAAACATATTAGAAGTAATTTATAAATAAGATTAGAGAAGCATAATACAGCTTATTATGAAAGGCGCAGTTTTAGACAAATTCTTTGTTATGACTCATGAGTGCGACGAAGGGACTGCAAAACAAATGTAATAATGGTTATCCATTAATCTTATTTAAGCACAGTATTGATTATTGGTCTAAATAGCGGTCAAATGGGGTAGGCGAGTAGATCTTCGAAAATATTATTTTTCAATTTCAAGATTTGAGTTTTTAATCTCGGTCAAAGAATGGTCAGCCGAGAGTAGGTCAACTTCAGCTTCATTATAGTATATTTATAATTTAACAATATACTCTTCAATTCTCAAGCTTCAAAATTCAAATAACTGATTTTTATATAAAAAAAATTAGTTAAAATTATTTTTTTAAAAAAAGGTAAGAACAATACCTTTTTTTAAAATATGTTTCTAACAAAAAGAAATAAAATGTATAAAAAATGTAATAAGAAAAAAATAAGAATTTAATAAATGAGAGAGAATAAAGAATTAAGGATAAAATTAAAAAAATATATTAAATATTGAGATAAACTTAAATTAATGTTTATAAGATGAATCATATCCTTTATTAAATTTAAAATTTATAAATCACATCGAAGGAGTACGTGCGCATATAAATATCTCAAATCAAGTTCTTTTAATTTGTGCTTTCGTTTTTGGGCCAACATATATTATACAGTTACTCAATCTAACCCTTTTGGCCCAAATACTTTCCCAAATCGAAAATTGGCATCATTTAAACATAAGGACCATTGCCTTGACTCTCAAACTTGTACCCAAAAAAAAAAAAACACTCTCAAATTATAAATGCGAAAATTTTTATCACAAATATAAAATTTCAATTTATTTTATCTTCTATGTTTGTTATTTGTTCAAACTACCTCTATTGATTATGAACAGTAGCACGCCATTAAATGCAATCAATAAAGATAATTTTTAATTAGAAAAATCAACATATAGTTTCACAAGTAATTAATTTAACTAGTTTTTTAATTTAAATAAATTAATTATCTAGTTTTTTTTTGCCAAATTTATCTAGTTCCCACCTTTAGAATTTGAGAGAATATATTATGCATCTTTTAACTTTTTTTAAAATTAAAGAAGTAAATACTAGCAACTTGAAGTTACAACGGAATCAAGTTCACAATCTTCCATACCACAAGATATTTCATGCGGTTAATCAACCAAGGATGTTGACATTTTTTAAAAAACTCTATCAATCACCATCTTATATTTTCTATCTTTATATATGATAAGTGGCAAAAAAAGATTAATAAGAAATAAAAAAAGTTTGAGAAACAGCCAGAAGATCCCTCATCACTACTACGAAACTCGTTACCGACTTTTACAAATATATTATATATATATATTTACTATGTGTGTAAGCATTTTTTATCTGAAATACAAAAAAGACTGTCGAAATAAAAAAATTACAAATAAAAACCCATAATAATATTAGTACGAGTTTTGACAACAATAGTATAAGTTTTGATCACAATTTTTACAAACCAATCTCTATGTGTAATTTTACTATTTCGGTAGTCTTTTTTTTGTCATTTTTCCTTTTTATTTTTCATTTTGCGAATAGTAATAATATGACCTTTGCATTTTGTCCAGACGGAGTATATGACATGGGAGGTTCCTCATCCTAAATTTAAATTTTAAATTATTTTTAATTATTAAAATCTGGATCATCTGTTATCTCTTGTCAGTCGTTTCCCTCATATATGGCTAAGTTATTTTCATAGATCAAGTTATTTATCCACTTATCCTTTCTTTTCTGTGGTCATTTTAGAAAAAAAAAACTATTTTTGGGCAAAATAAAATTGCAATAACTGATAAAAGAGAATTCAGTTATTTCTCTTTACATATGGTGTTAGATTGAAAACTATCTTGAGAATTAACAAGTTTATTTTGTATATATACACATAATAAGACAAAATGAAAATATAATGTTAAGCTGTTTGATAACAAATACAGAACATTGCTTTGCAGTGGGAAGTCCCGGTCAAAGATCTTGTATATATCAAGGTCTTATGTCATTACCATATAATTATATGAATAATTAACTTCCTGCATGGATAAAATGCTAAAATTATTTCTTAATTAAAATCAATTGGATAATTATCGTAACTTTCACAACTTTCCTCGCCTCCTCCAACTGACATCATTTTGCTTCAATTTATTCCACCCTCTCCTTCTTATCCCACTTGTTCTGGGGTGACATTCTTATCCCACTTTAATTTGCTGTGCCGGTGTCAAACTATTTATGAAAGTTAGTGGCTACGTTGTTGATGTTGACAGGAAGGATGTTTTTTTTGGTTAGAATTATCTTGTGGTGACATCCACCATCCGTTACTCATTTAAAAAGTTATATCTCTTATTCTTAATATAAAATTCAATTAACTAATTTAGAGAAGTTAAGAAACTACTAAATCGCTTAATGATAACATATATTACATGTTCTTTCCAAAATACTTATGTATATTATTAGCTTATATATTAATTTATGAGATTGACAAATTAATTTGAAAAAATAGGGTAAATATACATACTTTAAGATAATTTATTAATCCTCTTAATCTTTCCAAATAAGTTAACTGTATTTTATATTAAAGATTGGAGATAATATAACATGTACTTTGTAGCTAGTGTAAAATTTCATTACAAAGTAAATCTTATATTAATGTTAAGAGGTATTAGCATTTTTAATTAGCAACTCCCAATTTAACAAGTATTAAGAATTGTATACTTGTGCTAATTACATGTTGGCATATACAGGGGGAAATGTTCAAATTCCTGGAAATTTTCAATATGAAGCACTCGCATAGGGAATAAAAAAGTCATTTTTATATTTATAAGATAAAATTTTTCTTATATAATTAAATTACGTAACACAAAATTACTCAAAATAAGTGGATTCAAACAAGTATTGATACTGGGGTTGATAAGCAATGAGGCTCTATTTGCTATTACTATTAAAATTACTTATAAACATATTCCATCTAAGTCGAGACAAAACTCTTTTCACATATTCACCTCGTATTCTGTAAATTATGATTAAAAAGCTACTTATAAACTGTTCTAAATGAGCCCGAGTTAGTGTATAGATAGTACAAAAGACTAAATTAATAACAAAGAGAAGCGGAGTTTTCAAGCGTTTAATAAGATGAATTGCGTCGAGTTTAACTTTGAATTTGTTAAAACCTTTAAAGAGTCCAATGGCAAAAAAATTTCCCTTGACTTTGAATTTGAAAGACGCGTGGGAGTGATCCGTTAAGTTATACTGCCATTTTAGCAAATTACACTGTGATTGTTAAATGCGTAGTGGGAATTAGACGCCTAATTTTTTACTAATTAATTAATTATTTGGCGAAAACCACTCTTTTGGATACTCATCGCCAGCTAATTCAACGGATTGTACGGTCCCCACGGCGGCGTCCGTCAACATCGTATATACATCACAGCCCGAATGGTGTTTTGATTTGAATGGAGATTTTGAATACGAGCAAAATTGGGAAAAAAATCTTTGATTAAAAATCTTATTAATAAGAAGAAATTGTTAAATTTTTATGCCCAAAAAACATTGGTATTTTGTATTTTAGTAAGCTTATTTGGTTGAACTTTAATTTGAATGCAATAAATAAAAACTACGCATGTAGTAGTACGCTTAAAAGACAGAAAAAGAGAATAATACCAACAACTTCATATTAATTTTTCAGCAGCATCTACTATTCTAATCTTGTTTACAGTATATTCAATACTTTAATATATTTTTTTAATGCATCTAACACATGACATTGTTGTCCCGTCTTATCAGCATCATAATTTTATTCATGGTTTAAAGTGCTAGATGCACTATAAATAGTAGTAGGATATTAAAAGTATAAAAAAATAACATTAAAGTGCTAGATGTATCATAAATACTGCCTTCGGTATTTAATACAAGATCTCATTTGATTTTTATTTTAGTCATAAATATAAGACCTTAATGCATTTTGTCTTTTATATTTATCTATTTTTTAAAGATAGTCCTTGTAATAATAGTAGTTCTAACTAATAAACTTTATTAATAAGAATATTTTAGGAAAGACAATTCTTATTTATTGCAAATAATTAATTTAACTAGTTTCTTTAACATACTTAAATTAATAAATTAGTTCATATATTAAAAATCGAAGATAATAACGTGCATGGTGCATGTTACTCTTCTGGTCCTTAATATAAGACCCATTTAACTAATTTGATTAGATTAAGGAAGTTAGGTAAATTAGTTAATTTTAAGAAATGTGACATGTTTTTCCTAAAACACCATAATCATCTTTCGTAATACCCATCTTCCTCTTCTACTTAATTATGGTTAAGGGAGTATCCATAGGGATAATTTAGAGAAAATTGATAAATATGAGAAATAGGTCTTATATTTAGGACTAAAATCAACTCAATAATTAGGTCTTATATTTAGGACTAAAATTAACTCAATAATTAGGTCTTATATTAAAGACCGGAGGAGTATATTGTTATTTTACCCACAGAAATTTGCCAGGGTGTTGAACGATAATGTTCAACCGCTGATTCCTCGTACCATTAGTCAAACCCTACATGATTACCAGTTGGAACCACTATTTATCCTTCTCGTGCGTGTTCTCGGAAAAAAACTATATATTCTTTATCACCCATCTTCTCTTTCATACGTATATATCAGTACATACATAACTGACCGCTAACATTAATTTATGTTTGACTCACAACATACTCCTACTTTCTTAGGTCTATCTAATAACATTTGATTTCTTGCCCTGTGACCACTTCTCCTTCTTGTTTGCAGACAACAACAAAACAAGACTAGGTCAGTCAATTAATATGATACTCCTCTAGTCTTTAATATAGAATCCAATTGTTGAGTTGGTTTTTGTCATAAATATAAAATTCATTTATCATATTTGTCAATTTTCTCTAAATTACCCTTATGAATATTCCCTCAACCATAATCAAGTAGAAGAGGAAGAAGAGGTATTAAGAAAGATGATTATGATATTTTAGGAAAACATGTCACATTTCTTATAATTAACTAACTTACCTAACTTTTTTAATCTAATCAATTTAGTTAAATAGGTCTTATATTAAAAACTGATGGAGTATATCCATTCGAGCGCACGTAGGTATTTAGTTGAAAGAAGTAGTGAAATTCTCACGTTGACTCTATCATTTGAATTTTGAAGTTTCATCCCTATGAGGTGTGCCGAATAGCTTGGCTACTATTTGAAACAAATAGCGTGAATAATCACTAGCACGAGTTGGAATAAACAAAAGTGAAAAAACGCTTTTATTCTTTTTAAACAAATCAGAAGACGCTATTATTCTGCTTGCAGATACTTTTCAGTATGATTATTTCTTCAACTTTATCAAACTCATACAAAACCGGTGTTAGTTTCTGAGATATATATTTTTCACAAATAAAAGATGAAAGAGAATACAGTGTTTTCATTAAATTAATAAAATATATAATCAAGAATATTTTAATTAATTAAACTAAAGATTATATATTTCAACAAAACAAAAATGGATTTAAATGTCAGTCTCCAGCTTAAAAGATCTTTTTAGGCCACATTCAGATTAACCATTTTTCTTCGGTACAACTACATTACTGGACCCAAATATACTGTAAGGAAAAATTTTTCGGCCCAGTAGTAAGAAAAGATTTGGGCCTCGAAGTCCATCGGGCCTAAATTTTATTATTAAATAGCACTTTTTCACTTTTAATAATAATTCGGAATTAACATAATTTTTGATATCTTCATTTGTCCTTATTTATGTTTTTGTCCTTTAAGTTTCATATAATAGATTTTGATCTTTCAAGTTTCTTTTTAGTTAAAATATTGGTTCATATAATTCAATAACAACTTGAACCATTTGGCCCAATAAGAGACCAAAACCTATAATTTAAAATTTGAACTCGAGGATCCGAAGATTATATTAATCCTAATAATTGAATTACATTGAATTTTATATAATTATATTTGTTGACCTTATTTAATTTTATTTAATTAAGATAATGTTATGTTGATTTTATAATTATCTTTTACATATTTTCTTTCCCCATGAAATTAGGAATGGATAAAAATAAAAATAGAACCATAAATTATACAGTTAATTGATGCCAAAAGAAAAGGACATCATTTATAAAGTAATTGAAAATAAAAGATCAAGATTAAGAAGGTCATACTAACTGTACAAATACATCATTGACCTAGCCTTCTACATCCAACACTATTCAAACTTATTCCAAAAAGAAAAAAAAATAAAAGAAAGTGTAGGGCCAGGTCTCTAAAAGTGAGAACGAAAACGAAGTAACGGCCGGATCCTTGCAGGAAGTAGGCCAGCCTTTACTCTTCGTTCTTGGTCGAATAGTCAAGAAGGTCCTCTAGCAATTTATCATCCAAACACTCGAATTCGAACACCTGTCTTCCACCCTGAGCTTCCGCCATTGAAGACGACGACGAAGCAGACGACGATGAAGAGCGATGCAGGTGGCCACTACTAGAACAGGCACTCCCTGCACTGCTCAAACCGTATTCTTCTGGGAAGTTGAGAATGGCCGAAGGCCCTCTCATCCCGAAAGCAGCACGATCATAGGCTCTTGCCGCTTCTTCTGCCGTGTTGAAAGTGCCCAGCCACAATCGAGCTCCGTGCCTGTTCGAATCTCGAATCTCTGCCGCGAACTTCCCCCACGGCCGCCTTCGTACTCCTCTGTACTTGCTTTCTTTTGCTTCGTCTTCCTTGCCAGTTTTTTTCTGCAACTGTTCCATCCTGTTTGGCGCGCTCATCGACACCGGCTTGACCCTGGCATTTATATTGACCAGCCAATTCATAGTTGGCCCCGAAACTCTGTTTCCGTTGTAGATTCAATGGACGTGTAATTATCAAAGTCCAGGAGGAAGCATGATGGAGATTGTTCCCATCGTTCAACGTATGTGGATCCCAATTACAAAGTGGCGATGGCTAAATGGCGTATTCAAGGTCACCTCAACCATTTTGGTTGGAATTTTGTTCATAAATAATGTCTTTGTTTTTGCAGGTGAGGTCAGGGTCTAAAAGCCGCATGGAATTTAAGAAATGCTCACCTTCTTAACTTAATATAAGATTTAATTATTAAATTATTTTGATTTTAAATATAAGATCTATTTTTATATATAATTAATTTTTTTTTTTAAATTATCCTCATGAATACTTTCTCAATTATAATCAAGTAAGTGAGGAAGGAAGGATATCAAAAAAAATGATTATGGTGTTTTTAAAAAGTCATATTTCTTATAATTACTTAACTTATCTAACTTTTTAAATATAATTAAATTAGTTACTAACTCCGGTCCTAATTATAAGAGCTAGTTAACTAATTTGAGAAAATTAAGAAAAGAAGTTAGATTAGTTATTTTTAATAAATATGTATTGTCTTTTCTAAAATATCTTACTAATCAAGTGTATTGGTTAGAACTACTATTGGTTAGAAGGATTACTTTAAAAAAAATATATAAATATAAGAGACAAATGGATTGAGGTCTTATATTTAGGACCAAAATAAAAGTCAAACAAAATCTTATACTCATTTTGTCCTTAATATAGGACCCAATTATTGAGTTGGTTTTGGTCCTAAATATAAGACTTATTTATCATATTTATTAATTTTTCTAAATTACCCAATGGATACTCTCTCAACCGTAATCAAGTAGAAGAGGAATACGGGTATTAAAAAATATAGTTATAATGTTTTAGGAAAAATATATCATATTTTTTATAATTAACTAACAACCTAATTTTTTAATTTAATTAAATTAATTAAATGAATCTTATATTAAAGATCATAAAAGTATTAAAGACCGAAGGCAGTAGATTTTAAAACTAAGGATGGGAGGAGTACTACATAAATAACTAAATCCATATGGCCCTTTTGCCATCGAACTTGGGGATCAGGAGGGTCCCAGGTTGGCCGGATGAGTTCATTAATTAATGAAGGTAAAATAAAAAGCTGGGATTGCAACAATAAAGATATGATTCCATTTAGCACGTGATGAGGGTTTTTTTTTTTTTTTTTTTAAGGCGAAACATTGAACTCCAATTGCTGCCAGCGTCACGCAACACATCAACAAAATATTTTTACCCCTTATCCTGATGGCCGATCGTGAAAACCAGCTGCTATCTTTTTTAAAAATAGAAGACTGAAAGTAGAAGACAAAAAGCAAGGATTTGGGTTAACCAAAAGACAAATAATATTGATTTTTCAAACGTCACTATGTGCATAGTGTTTTGGTGGATGAGAGCTTAACAATGCTACCTGCTCCAGAATAAGAAAACAGAGGGGTGGTGCCATGAGGGACCCTCGTCCTTTACCAGAAATAACCAAATGAATCCCTTCTGGGTCCGACCTCTGTTTTGGCAGGAACTCTCTAAATTGCTGTGCTTCCCCATTGGTATGCATCATGTTAAGGATCGGACGGGGATTTGTGTAACCCCTGTTTTGGCACGAACTCTTGATTCGTATTCATCACAAGAAACGTTCTGGCAACTGAAACATGAACAACTTATTTTTTTCCTTTCTTTTTTTTTTGAAGGGATTGAGTGCCAGTTCGGTTGGGTTTCTCAGGGGTGAAAAGTAACTTAAATTGGGCAGAAGCCTGATTGGAAATTTAGATGCTGTTTAGATGGACAATTGGGCAATCTGGTTTTTGTATAAAAAACTACAATAAATTATAAGCTAAAATTATCAGTTTATGATTTATAACTTTTGAAACATGGAGAGAAAAAAAGTTAAGAAATTTATTATCTCTTTTGATTTTTATTATAAGCCTCAAATAACTAATTTGTAGATAACAAAAAATAAGTTAAAATTAGTTGAAAGCAATAAATAAGTTAGAAATATACTTTTGTTTTTAAATATGCTCCTAGAAATATACTTTATTTTTTCATGTTTCACTTTATATTTAAAATATTTTATGATTTCTCTAAAGTTTTAAAATTTACTTCACTCATTAAATTTGACTTCTTCATATCAAATTATTTTAATTTTATTGTATTATGTGAAATCATTTTTTTTAATCATGTTTCATTATTTATTAAAACTCATACTCATTTTAGGCATTTTACAACCAAATTTATTTTTACTCAACCATAATCCAAACAACCCTTTATTAATCTTATTTTTGCAAACTAATTTTTCTGAACTCCAATATAAATACAATTCAACTTATCTAATTTAGCTTTTACCTAACTTTACTTTTTCATAAGCCAAATCGACAATAAGTTATTTTTTCAATCGCTGATCTAAATGGACTCTATATTACATTTATTTCAACTTTTAGATTTCTATTAATTAGTAAACATTATATATCATTTCCTAATACGATAGATGGTTGAACTGGGACAACTCAAGCTCTCAGATTGGTCATATCCCTAAAGACCAAGTTAACTCTAAAGCAAAAGACGTAATTTTGGTGGTCCCTATAAAAAATGTTGCCAAATCAACGACTGATTTGATTTGGTTATCACTTATCACAAATCCGATGGGGCCCATCAGGCAACTTTCTCCAAATACCCCCGAGATGAGACAGAGCTCAGTTACGACAAAATCAAGACATCACCAAACACCACCCATGATCATGCCTCTCGCCACCTTCCAAATGAAACGCGAATCAGGTTGAGGCAGCCTTTAATCTCCTCCTCCACTTCAAATCGCCACCTTCCAATGCCTCTTGCTTGGACGGCGCAAGTTTTTACACACACACACACACATCTTATTTTAATTCTTTATTAACATTATTAATTCATTTTATGATATTGTTTTTCTTCATATATCATATTTATTAAATAACTTAGACAGGATCACAGGACCAAACCTGATCTTCTATGCTGGGTTCGTCCGGTTTCGATCTTGGTACATGAAGAACGGGTATTTTAATTAAACTAAAGCAAAATATTCTCCTCCAAAAATACCAATTTCAGAGGAGAGGGGGAGGCATTCTTCTCCCTCCATTTCTCCCAAACCATGCGGAAGGGTTTCAACTGTTGGTAATGAAGATTTTCACATATGTACATGCAGAGACCACGGTGGTGGTATCTGAATCAAACAACAGAGAAAGTTCCAAGCCTCATAACACAACCACTTATCTGCCAACTACTAGCTGAACCAACTGAAGACAACATGGTATTTAAACTTATACAAGCAAACAAAGCTGCAAACCAACTTCATAAACTGCTAGAGATACAGAAGAATGAAGACTATGCCAAGTTTCACAGAACAACAATTTCCATTTCCTGAGATTCTCATTATTTATTATTTGACTCATAGTGTCATGCCTTGAAATGATAAAAAGTTGCTTCAGTGTCAGCATCGTTTTCGAAGAATTTCATGTAGAAATCCTTAGGTGTGAAGGGTCTGTAGATGGCAGGATGGAGTTCATCAACAACACCTTTTGCTGGTTCTATCACACTATCCTCCAAAGCCGTCACAAAGAACGCAGCTGACGCTCGAAATCTGCTAGCATTTGTCACCACTCTGTGTTTCACACTTCTTAACTTGTCATTACTTATCACCTGCACTCCAACTTAGCCCATTAATCATAACTCGTCTATAGAAAGAAATGTTAATTAATTAGCAGAAGATGAACCATACTCAAATTATAAGACAGTTTCGACTGGAAAGTGTGTACCTGCAAGAGGCAGCCGACGTTGACGACAAAAGCATGTGGAATAGGCTCAACGCTAATCCATTGATCATCTTTGAAGATTTGAAGTCCGGAAACTTCATCTTGAAGTAGAAAAGTAATGAGATTGGCGTCATCATGCGGGCACGTTCCTAGAGTCAAGCTTGGATCAGGGCATGGTGGATACTGCAGAGCTGTCAGAACCATACATGCGCTTAGTTCATTGTCAAAATGTTCACATTTCAGGCCAAGTCCTTCAGTGATCAACCCCAGAATCCTTGAAGCCAATTCCTTAATTCCCACTGAACATGCCCCAACAATCTCCCTGTCATGTCAACAAAAATTACGTAAAACTTGGGAGTAGAGAGCCAGTTTTATTATTGAAGAGGGTGCATAATTTTCTTACCGGTATCTGGCTGGGCTGTCAGGCCAAAAATTCTGCCACTTGTCCAAGGGATGACACTGGTGTTGCAGAAAGTCTCGCCACATATGAACCTTTTCATTAGCATAATTTTCACAGCTTGTGAAATAAATACACTCCTTGCTAAAGTCTTTAGTGTACAAGTGTTGCTTGGCTTCATCTGGCATTTGGAAGAACTCCCTCACCACACTTATTGTTTCACCCATTAAATTCTCCGAAACCCCATGATTCGCCACCTGATTTCATTGCAAACCTCAGACTTCTGACAAAGATTGATTAGGAAAAAGAAAATTAATAGAAAATGACATGAACCTGGAAGAATCCAAACTCTTGACCAGCCTTGAGAATTTTCTGAATTACAAGTGTTCGATCACCTTTCTCTGCTTCACTGAGATCAATCACTGGTATGCCTTCACCTTTAGGAACATGGATGTTGCCTGGTCTTTTTTCTGGTGGATATATGTAATCCTCAGGCACGGGTCGCACATTGTACCAGTTTGAAACAAGTTTCTCCATATCTGATCAACAGGGTCCAAAACAAAGAAACTCAATGATGCTCTGCCACTTGGGGATGAATTAGCGTGACCTATTGATTTGTATTTAAATAGGGCCCATCATCTTAGTGGTCCATCGGATTCCTACATATATTAACCCATTATCTTAGTGGTCCATCGGGTTCACACACGCACATTCAAGTTGCTCTGTAACATTTATGAAGTTTACATGTTGGATATATTTTGTTTATTTCATATTGTCTGTCACAAAAATGCGGTTTTTCAAGTTTTATAACAATACTTGTCGATTTTAAATTCAAGAATGCATTAAATTAGGAGTAGTTTTTAACTATTTGTTTAAACAAGGGTAAGGACATCTAAGAAAAGACGCAAAGTAATTTTGCAAAACAAAGAAACTCAAGAATGTTTTGTCACTTGGGGATGAATTAGTGTGACCTATTGATTTGTATTTAAATAGAGCCCATCATCTTAGTGGTCCATCGGATTCCTATATATATTAGCCCATGATCGTAGTGGTCCTCCGGTTGTGGGTGTATATGTATATTCAAGTTGCTTTGTAACATATACGAAGTTTACATGTGGATGCATTTTGTTTACTTCATAGTATCTGTCACACAAATGCGGTCTTTCGGGTTTTATAATAATACTTGTCAATTTTAAATTTCAAGAATGCATTAAATTAGGTGTAATGCTAGTATTTATTTAAACAAGACTAAGGACATCTAAGAAAAGTAGTAAAGTAATTTTGCAAAATCCGATGTTATTAAATGGTTTTCTTATTTTTGTAGAATTTGTTTTTGTTAGAGCTAATTGTAGTATGAAATATGGAGAGTATATACTCTCTGGTCCTATTTATAAGTCATTTCTAACATGTTTCACACAGAATTTTTTTTTAAAACTTCATTAATTTTTATTTAAAATTCAACAATTTTTCAAATTTAACTTTATTTAATATATATTATACCTCATGTAAACAAAATTAACATAATAATAAATGAAGGGTAAAATCATACATCTATATAAAATTTTTTCTCAGTACCTTATAAATAAGATTAAAATATACCTACTCTCTTTCGTATAAACATGACCAGAAAAGTATATACCAACGTGAATTTAGTATCGGTGCATATTATCTAATGAAGGCAATATTTTACAACCAAAAGGTGACAATTAGCCCCTCAACTTAAAGTAACTTTCCCATGACATGACATGAAACTTAAAATAAAAGAGGTGCTTTTCTGCAAGACAACACAAAACATAACAAATGAAGAAAAAGATAAGACTGAGGTGTTCAATGTACTTTATTAATATATTTAGTGAAGTACCCAGCCAGTTAGTTTTTTTCTTTCGGAAAACATTAATTAAGAACCTTGATTTAAGTCATTCTTTCTTAAGTGCATGCTAAGTCCAATTACTGGTTTCCAGCCCCAAAAAAAGTCCAATTACTGGCTTGTTCCTGTCCCCCTTTTTCGGGTGAACGCTCCTTTCCCTTTTCTAGCGTGGCCTGTGAGTCACCGTAACTTGAAAAGAATTTAGAAAGAAAATCTTTACTCTTGAAGGACTTGTAAATCGGAGGATGGAGTTCATCAATCAGAGCTTTTGCTGGCTCTATAACACTCTCCTCCGAAGCTCCTATGAAAAATGCAGCCGAAAATCGAGTTTTACTTGAATTTGTCACAACTCTGTGTTCCGAACTTCTCAACTTGTTGTTACTGATCACCTGCAATCTCAACACAAAATCAAATCAACCATTATTTGCTATAATTTCTACTTATTTCCGAATACTGCTGATCTAGAACGAACGAAAAATTTTAGACTGCAAGAAGTTAAAGAATGTATATGCCTGCAACTGGGAGGCTATATTGACCACAGTTGCATGGGGGTTAGGATCGACGCCAATCCACGTATCATCCTTCAACACTTGAAGTCCACAGACGCCATCTTGGAGTAAAAGGGTTATGATGTTAGGATCGGCGTGCTTGGTTGCTCCAAGAGTCAAATCTGGCTGAGGACATGTTGGATAGAAATTAGCGGATAGTTTCATAGTTTGGCTATATTCACCCTCAAGATATTCGCCATGCAGTCCAAGCCCTTCACTGTACTGATTAACCTCAAGATCCTGGAACTCAACTTCTTAACTTCCATTGAACACGCCCCAATACACTCTCTGATACAAATCAGACTAAACCCAATAAGTAAAGAAGTGTGCGTTTGTTTTTTGGCCTCAAAGAGAAGTGTGCGTGTAAAAGCAGACATATAAGCATTTTGGGTTCAGAGGGTAGCATCCATTACTGATATCTCGCTGGGGTTTGAGGCCACAAATGCTGCCACCTCTCTAAAGGATGACATGGGTGTTTGAGAAATTCCCTCCATGTATGAACATTCTCGGCAGCATAAGTTACACCGTTCAAAGTGAACCTGAAATCCTTGTGCCAATCCTGTGAGGACAAGTTCTGCTTCGCCTCCGCCGGCAACTGGAAGAACTCCCCCAACACACTCATTGTTTCATTAATTAGATTGTCCGGTATCCCATGATTGATCACCTATATTTTCATTCATCACACGTTAATGCAACTATATGATTGATCCAGCTTTGAAAAATCTTTTTTTTTTTTTTTTGCCCCATCAAACCGGCAAAAACTAACCCAAAAAGGAAAAAAGAAGTTATGGCATGAACCTGGAAGAATCCAAACTCTTGAGCGGCTTTGAGAATTTTCTGCACGGTATGGGTTCGATCACCTTTCTCTGCTTCGCTGAGGTCAATCACTGGGAAGCTTTCACTTACAGGAACATGGACGCTCCCTGGTCTTATTTCTGGTGGAAACACGTAATCCTCAGGCACTCGTTGCACATCGTACCAGTTTGAAGCAGGTTTCTCCATTGCTGATCAACAGGGTACAGATTAAAACAATTCAAGAATGTTTTATCAACGGGGAATTGATTACTATGAGCTATTGATTTGTATCCAGATTGAGCGCATCATTAACTCATGATCTTAATGGCCCATCTGATTCCTCTGTATATGTTCAAGACTTCAAGTAGCTGGTTTATACTAGTACATGTGAAATTTAGTATTAATCTAACATTTTCTTGGATAAATGCGAACAGGATAGTATCAACGCGTACCATCTGAGGAAAGTAATAGTCAACTACCATGAAGTTACAATTATGCCCATCGCCTTAAAATATGCTTCCCATAACATCACTTCAAATAAAACAGAGATACTTCTTTAGCAAGACAAAACAAAGCAACATAAATGATAAAAGGCGAGATCTTCAGTGTACCTTATTTAGTCTTCGGAAAAGATATATTTATTTGAAAAGGTTTAAAACACATTAATTAAATTAAGAGCTTCGAGAGCTTCGATCTAAATTATGAGCTAATTACGCATATAACAGAGCAGCTAACTGGATAAACAAACAAAGGAACAACAAGGAAAGCTAGGACAAAGATTACTCATACCTAATACAAGACACCGCAACAAGTCTAGTACTGAAGCATAACCACAGAGAATAAGGACACGACTCCTTTTATGAAACGCAATGCGAACTTAAGAGGAAGATTCACATGAGGTTGTCTTTTCACATAGAGCAACACTCTTCTTAAGTATGATTAAAAACAGTTTACCCCTTGATCGTCAAGTTTCATTTCCTTCTCCATTATCATCCAGTTTAATCTCATATATAAATGAACAACCCCAAGCCAGATATAAATCGAAGTGGAAGGCTACGGCCACAAGCCCGTAAAACTCAAAATCGAGGCGGGGAAATCCAAAAATCAACAATCTAGAAATAAATCTTAAATCTCATAACCAACAACGAGAGAAGAAGCTGGCAAAGGGTAAGTTACGAACAGAGTTGACAATTTCTATTGGTGAATGCGAAAGGTTGCTTATCCAGCCATAACCGACGGCCTGTCTTACCGCAAAGAAGAGGATCTGTGCCGTGCTGGAAGACAAGCAGTGGAAGAGGGCCTCAGATATTTGAGAAAGAAGAATAGATAGCATCCAGCGATGGCAAAGAGAAGATAGAGAGAGGTTAACGAAGAGCGACGATTGCAAGACCCTGCTCCACCTCCATATGCATTTTGGTTACAATGCCTCTGAGTCTCTGACCGTTGACTTTTCTTGTTTTTGGTTCGTATTTTTGTATTCAAACAGAACGGAACGATCAGATCTAAATCATCAGATGAGACGGTTCAGATTTAATCTTTTCATTTTTATAAAATAATTTTTTTAATTAGTCTCTAGGACCAAAATGAGGCCAATTTCCGAAGCCGTCATGCTTCATTGTTACAGCAGGCAACACAGAAAGGGTGGCCACGATGCCAAGAGAGGATTGGCGTCTAGCCAGTTCGTGAGCATAGACGTCATCTTGTAATAAAAGGATGAAAGGATCAGCATGCTTGGATACTACGCCACCTATGAACCTTCTCTGCAACATAATTTGGAGTGCTTGTAGAAAGCCTGCAACTGAAACCCTCCGTGAACAAGTCTTGCTTGGCCTCCGCCGGCAACTGGAAGAACTCCTTCCGCCCACTCATTGTTTCATTCATTAGATACGCCGGAATCCCATGATTGATCACCTGGCCTGTATCCTTCCCATCATCACACGTTTCCTGGTCTTGTTTCTGGTGGAAATATGTTATCCCCAGGTACGGCTTCCACATTGCACCAGTTTGAAGCAAGTTTCTCCAATACTTCTTCATTGATCGAGGGTGAGTAGCGCAGGAACTCGAAAATGTTTTAGCAGTTGAAAATTAAATGAATTGGCATGAGCTATTTCACTTTGTACATAAATAGACTCCATCATTTTTATTTAACAATAATTAATTCAAAATATTAAATTTGGACCGTTCATATGTAATTTAGACCATTCACATTTGATCTAAACTATCTAGATTACTCATAAGATAACGAGCACCCAAACTGAGCCCTTGTATAAGAGGTTTTGTGTGTGTGTGTGTGTATTTTTGCCATAATTCGATGTTATAAATTTTACAACGTACGGACATTGCATGGACCTTAAAAACGAAAGTAACAGTTTCATCTTATTTGACCAAGTCATTAACGTTGATAATTGAGCACACGCTTGCAAAAGTCAGCACACATACATGTATGTGTGAATCCGGCTATTGATAATAGTAGCATAGTACTGCATAATTAATTCACACACAGTAGGTTAAAATACACAGTAGACAATTTTTTTTTTTGATGAAAAGACAATTTTATTTAACCTAAATAAAACAAAACGATTACATAAAAAAATTGGCCAATCACATTTGGTTAATTTGAGTAAAACTCAAATAAACTAAAGGAAAAAAACAGCCCAAAACATCTAAAACTTAAAAAGAACATAAAGGCAATAACGAACAAAACAAAAAGTTAACGGCAGAAAAACATAAGCCCGAGACCACAAGCCAACAAGGCCATAATACACTACACCAGTTAACTACCCTTCCATTTTACTTATTAAAAGAGAAATCCCATCTGAAACGAGAGGCGTATGGTTTTATGCCCTGAAATGACTAAAAGTTGCCTCTGTGTCCGCACCACATTCAAGGAATTTGGCAACGAAATCCTTAGTGGTGAAGGGTTTATAAATGGCAGGATGGACTTCATCAACAATACCTTGTGCTGGTTCTATGACACAGTCCTCCAAAGCAGTCACAAAAAAAACAGCCGATGTTCGAAATCTACTTTCATTTGTGATCACTCTGTGCTTCGCACTCGTTAGCTTATTATTACTTATCACCTGCACTCCCACACACCAAATCATTCATTCATAGCTATATAATCATAATCTGGTATATTCACAAGACATTGTAGAGGCAAAGTGTATGAATTACCTGTAGGAGGGCGCCTATGTTGACCACAAATGCATGAGGAATAGGCTCAACGCCAATCCACTTGTCATCTTTGAGGATTTGAAGGCCGTATACTTCGTCTGGAAGCACAATGGTAATGAGATTAGCATCAACATGCTCGAATGCTCCTAGAGTCAAACTTGGCTCTGGACACGGTGGATACAGAAAGGACCACAGTGGCATACGTCCACTTAGTTCATCGTCAAAATATCCACATTTCAAGCCAAGACCTTCACTGATCAACCCCAGGATCCTTGAAGACAGTTTCTTAACTTCCACTGAGCAAGCCCCAACAATCTCTCTGTCAACAAATCAATTGAGAGTAAGTGACTAAACCCAAATGTTAGATAAGGTTTGTGAGTTTGAATACCGGTATCTGGTTGGGCTTTGGGGCCAAAAATGCTGCCACTTTTCTAGAGGATGACAGGGGTGTTTCAAGAAGTCACGCCAGAGATGAACCTTCTCTTTGGCATAACACAGACCGCTGGTAGAAAAAATGCAATTCTTGCTCATGTCTTCTGTGTATACATGTTGCTTGGCCTCATTTGGCATCTGGAAAAACTCCCTCAGCACACTTGTTGTTTCATTCATTAGATTCTCCGAAACCCCGTGATTAATCACCTGCTCAGAATTTATCGCGCATTAGCGGAACAAGGAATAAACCTTCAGAGGAAATCTCAAAAAGGGAAAACTAATAACTATGGCTTGAACCTGGAAGAATCCACAATCTTGAGCAGCCGTGAGGATCTTCTGAATGGTAAGAGGTCGGTCACCTTTCTCTGTTTCGCTGAGATCAATCACTGGGATGCCTTCACCAAGTGGGACATGAACGTTTCCTGGTCTTTTTTCTGGTGGAAATATGTAATCCTCCGGCACAGGCCGCACATTGTACCAATTTGAAACAAGTTTCTCCATTGTTTTGATCTCTCAGTAACTTGATGAGAGCAGAAAAAGGGGCGAAAAGCGGAGAAGATGGAACAAAGTAGGACTCTCGGTAGCAAGAAATGAAATGAAATCTAGAAAGTAAGTCCTTCATTATTATTGATCACATGCTTCCGCTGTTGCCGCATCTTCGTCTTCAAAATAAAATTACAAAGATAAGCTGTCCCGTGTACTTCAGCTTCGAAGAATGCGCTGTGCTATAAATTACATCATACAATCACAAAGTACTGGCTTCAATCTGCAGGCAACATGTGAGTAACACTACTTGATTATTTTAGCTATGATTTAATGATTTTTAACTGCCCAGCTTGATCTATTTGTACTATTCTAAGTTTTTATGCTATGATTTTCGTTGAAAGCCAAAAGGTAGAGTTAGTTTATCTTCCAAACTTATCATAAATGAGCAGAAAATGCAATTCTCTCGCACTTGATGGCCAAAAAAAGGCCCCAAAAAAAAAACTCTTTAATATACTTGTCAGAAATTTGAGGTTTCTGCTGAGAAGAAAAGTTGACGCTATCCAAGCCGATGGCAAGTGATTTCGAAACTATCTTCTTCGTGCGCCAACATTTTGTTAAACTCGTGTTAATCATTACTTTAGATCCTTTGGAAAACGGTGAAGTTGTATATAAAATACTACTGTACTATTCTTCATTTAGTCATTCATCTTCCTTTATATACCAAAACGTAAGCTACATTCAATATTGAACACAATTTCCATTATATACATAAATTGCTGGTACATTGAGTTCAATTTCCCCCCGTTTCATGAGCAAACAATTTCCCCTATTTTAAAGCTCCAACTTTACAGCATTCTGATTCATAACACACCACAACTTTGAGCTTATTGGTCGACAGGACTAGAAATAGTAGAGCTTACTTCACCCCTAACAATATGTAGACACACGTATTCCAAATGCACGCGCGTGCACAAACACATAAAACAACATTAACGTTCTTCCATTGCGCAGATGCTACGCCAAAACAGATCTTAATGCTGCCTGTGAGTCACCGTCATTTGCAAGGAATTGGGTCACGAAATCCTTAGTTTTGAACGGTTTATAAATTGGAGGATGGAGTTCATCCGTAAGATCTTTTGCTGGCTCTAAGATACTGTCTTCCAAAGCAATTACAAAAAATGCAGCTGATGTTCGAGCAGTACTTGGATTTGTCACAACTCTGTGCTCTGCACTGTTTAGTATGTTGTTACTGATCAACTGCTACCCAACAAGATAATTAACCTCATTTGCTATCCAAGAGCAGTTTCATGACCCCGTAATTCAGATGTGCTTACCTGCAAGAGGCAACCCATGTTGACTACAAATGCAAGAGGATTAGGCTCAACACCAATCCACTTGTCTTCTTTCAAGACTTGAAGTCCATAGACATCGTCTTGAAGCAAAATGGTAATCAGATTGGTGTCGGCATGCTTAGATGAACCCAGAGTCAAGCTTGGTTGAGGACATGGTGGATAGTGATTAACTGAAAGCATCATGCTTCCACTAAGTAGTTCATCATCAAAATATCCACATTTTAGTCCAAGCCCTTCGCTGATTAATGCCAGAATCCTTGAAGCCAACTTCTTGACTTCAACTGAACATGCTCCTCCACACTCTCTAACAACACACAAGAATCAATTAGTTATGACTAAACCCGATAAATTTATAGTATAAAAACTTATATTTCAGCTGAAGAGGCTGTATCATTTACTGGTATCTAGTTGGGTTTTGAGGCCAGGTATGCTGCCATTGTTCTAGAGGATGACATGGGTGCATCAGAAAGTCCCGCCATAGATGAACCTTATGAGTAGTACAATTTATAGTGTACGTTTTAAGCCTGCAACGCTTGCTAACATCCTCTGAGTCCAATTTTTGCTTGGCCAAATTTGACCTCTGGAAAATTTCTTTGAATACACCCATTGCTTCAGTCATTAAATTCTCTGAAACCCCTTGATTTGTCACCTGCTTTCAATTTATCACACAGTCAGTCAGTCAGATAACAGGTAATCGAACTTTGTAAACCTTGGGCTTAGACCAAGAGAGAAGAAAAGTAAAGTAATATGAACCTGAAAGAATCCAAACTCTTGAGCAGCTTTGAGAATTTTCTGAATAGTAGGTGTTCGATCACCCTGCTCTGCTTCACTGAGGTCGATCACCGGAATTACTTCACCTATAGGAACATGGAGGCTCCCGGGTCTTGTTTCTGGCGGAAAAATGTAGTCCTCCGGCACAGGTCGAACATCGTACCAAGATGAAACAAGTTTCTCCATCACGTTGATTCTAGTAACTAGATGGACCAGACTGCATAAATAGAGACTTGAAAGCACTTTGAGTTCATGTTCATCATTAATCGATGCCTCGTCAACCTGGCAGATTCTGATATTTTAAGTTCGAATGACTCGTAAAAGAACGAGACGTATCCATGAATTTGTCATATATTAGATTCTATAGGCTTTATTTTATGTAGTCCTAATCACAATTCAGATGTGAGGGATTTTTTTAATTATTATCTGTCACTAATCTGACAGTTATAAGGCATTAATCGTCACATCTTTTAATCAAACCAGACATTTCTTCTCTCCGGTCGTTTTTTGTTAAATTCATGGAAAGATATTTCTCAACCCCTACTCCGTATCCGAATATTATTCTATGATTGGAGTGAGAGAAAAGTAACGAAAGAGAAAACTAGAAAAGAAAATAGAAGAAAACAATACATTTTTTTTTCTTATTTTGGTCGTTAGAGAAAGTTTTTTTTTGGGGGGGGGGGAGGATGAATGAGAAAATGAAATATGAAATCCATATGTTTTCTCTTCAGAGCTTTCTTGTGAAAATAGAAACGATTTTTAGATCGGTCGAGACTTGATATCCTTAATTGCCATAAAGTTGACATCTCTCGATAATAAGTAATTAGACATCAATGAAGTCCCAATTCCTACGGAAGCTATTGTAATTATGACTGAAAGAAAACATGCAAGAAATATCCTTGTTCTTAAGCACAGGTCCAGTAGAAAAGACAACGCCACAAAAGAACTGGTTTAAAGACAACACATATCAAGATCAAAGGGTAATGCCACTAGTAAATGGTACGCATCATAAAGTATCTCTTCGGCTGATCACTTACTCTGGTGCCGGCTTGCATTGCTTCTATAAGCTCGGGGAACAAATAGGTAAATTATATGAACTTATGAAGAGAAAATTGACTATTTTTAACAAAAGCTTCAATTCTGAATGTGAAAGAAAACAAATTCTCAATTATGATGACATTCCCAAACTCTATTCTGTAATTTCCGGGAAAAAAATTATTTTCTAAGTGAGCAAAACTCGAAACTAGCAACCAAAGACCCGTACACAGTATATCGTATGATTAGAAAGGGAAAGACTAATAAGCTCTGCTGCTGGATTGAAGTGAGATGTTGGGTTGGGAGACGGTAGGTGGTTGAGGTGTATCAGGTAAGGGCAGAGCCTTTGCGGGAAACTCGTTTGCAGAAGCAGCACTACTGGCTTTTTGCTTCAATTGCTCCAGAAGTCGGCGGGCTTCTCTGAGTTCATCAGCAGCACCTGCTCCATGGCTTTCCCAAGCATCTATAGCTTGCTGTTGAAATTCTATTGCAAGGCCATAGCTGCACTTCCAAGACAGAGTGTATATCTTTAATTCTATTTTCATTAGTTTCCATGACAAATAACATCACATATTTGCACATTTTCCCAAGATAAAGATCAAAATCTAACAACTATATAACATACATAATTCAGGTGTTGGCAAAAAATATATAACATAATTAAGGCAACAAAAACATGCTAGCATATCTAAGAGGAATTGGCGTTCATCCACCCAGTTAGAGGACATCGCAGTAATTAACTCCTCTACCACAGTATAAACACCTTCCTCATAAATCTTACTTTGCTTCAAAATAAGAACCATTTCATAATCAATGATATGAATAAAGATGCAAAGAGAAAATCTAACAGGCCAAGAAGCATAAAAAGTACAGCACCTAATACAACCAGGATAACAAATACATTTCCGTGAACTAGAAGTCTAGAAGCAACCTTTCTTTGGACTTTAAAAAAAAAAAAAATTGCATGAGAAATTATGAAACTTACAAAAGGATCAAGACCAAGGAAATCTACCATACACTTGAATGACATAACGGCCATAAACTAACAATTTCCTTTTTCCTAATTCACAGTATTGGTTTGGATGGTAAGGCTTAATTAGAAGAAAAATAAATCATATAAAATGTCAATCTTTCATGAGTTCAATATCTTTTGCATTTACCAGCAGAAATGCCGAACATATATAAGCAGATGGAGGCAAAAAATCAAGATTTTCCATAATTAATGAATTTGAAACATCTAATTCCATCTCGCATGTTCAATAAATTGCAACAGCATCATACTCACGTAAAAGCACAAGAAGATACAACATTAAAAATACAGTTTTACGATTAGAATACATTAGCAACTGGATAGAATATGGACCACTAAAACCTTGGGTTAACTCTGGCAGCCAATTACGGCACACAGATAAGGATCTGAACTTCAAACATCCGAATGTTTATAAATTTAGGTTTGCTTCTGAACATAATTCCTTGTGCGTGTACGTGTAGATATTTGTATAAATTTGCACATTTGCATATGCATGTGCACGCATCTAAATATACACACTAGGGTGGGCCAAAGTGGATGAATCCATTGGACATCCATGATTTGTGCATTAAGAATTAGATCAGATCTTGCCCACTCGATCCACGAAATTTCATGAGGATTGGATGGGCATTTTGGTGCAGATATATAGATCTGGGATATCCATTGCTCACCATTTAAGTGGTTAGACTTAAATAGGCCCAAGTAAATTACAATTACAATACTAGTGATAAAAAAGTTAATTCTTTCCTTAGGCTAGCGACCCTGTTACCCCACACACACACACAATCAATACAACGAAATGAAATGAAATCAAAAAAGGCATCCATACCTTCCCATTTCACCATAAGCTTTCGAAAGATTCTGACAAGCTTCAATTGTATCTGCATGATGTGGACCAAGAGAAACATCCATGATGTCCTTGGCTACTGCAAACATTTGTGCCGCTGACTGGGGTCTTGCCAACTCTAAATATGCTGCTCCCAAATTGTTGTATATATAACCCACTCCAAAATGCTTGGGACCAAAGCTATCTTTCAATGTTTCGGCAGCACTTTCCAAGTAAGGAATAGCCTGCTGCACCTTACCTGTCAGCAAGAGTAACCACCCTATTCTTGCAGAAATGCTTCCCTCTGAATGCTGCTCTTGTGGAAGCTTCTCAAGCAAAGCCAGTGACCTCTTCAGCAGTGAGATTGCAGTTTCAAACTCATTCATGGCTTCATACTGCATTGAAATCTCTGAGTATGCCTCAGCTACTTCCACAGGGGAGATCGATTCTTTTTTGTCAAGAATCCCACAAGCAATCTCCAAACACCTTTTGGAGTCGGCAAACTTGTCCTGATTACATAAAGCTTTTGCCATTGATATAAGTACAAGTGCCCGAGTCTCACTATCTGCGTCTGTCTGCTGCACAACACTCCTCAAAGTACCAGTAGCCTCATCATATCTTCCCAGAGCAATCAGCATATTTGCTGCGTCTATTTCAGCACGCAGCAAATCAGAGTTAAGATTCCAATTCGTCAAAATCTTCTTGGACAAAGTATTCTGCTCGAGTGCCTTCTCATGCTCCTCCAACCCACTGTATATAACTCCAAGGATTCTCCTATCATGTGCAACCTCCACAGAATTATTCCCCAATTGCTTCTTATGTATCTCCAATGCCTGCATACAAAAAGGCAGTGCCTCCTTGAAGTTCAAAACGGCAACATAAGCTTCAGCTAAATCACGGTTAGCTTTACCCAGTTCTCTACTATCTTCTTCCAAACTCAATTGCTTAATCTCTAAACACTTTCTAAGATTTTCAAGGGCCTCTTCTCTCCTGCCCATGGCGGTCTTGACGTTTGCCAACTCAAGTTGTACAGCGTGAAGAATTGGCCTAACATCATCAACATCATTCTCTCCCTGTAACCTACCCAATATCCTATTCGCCCTGTTAAGATACCCTAGGCTATCACTGAATCGCTTTAAGCTATAATTAGCCGAACCCATCAACTGTAATGTCATTGCAACAAGTATAGAAGGTTTGTTGTCACTGTCTAATGCCTTTAAAGCTCTGTCAGCGAATGATAGGGCTTTTTCAGGGTCCTCACCTTCTTGATCAAGTTTGAGGCCAATTTTCAAAGAGGCCAACCCCAGCTCTCTCTCATCGAAAGTTGCCTCCATATCCTTGAATATTCTGAACATGTCCTCACTGGTTTCCGCAGACTCAAAAGCTTCCTCAAGCTCAGACTTTTCCTTTATTTTTCGCTGCCTAGACGATATTTGAGTGGGCGTTTCAACCAGAGTATCCATGTTTCGACAAGAGTTTGCCTGAAACTTGTTTCTGGTAAGTAATCCATGGCTTTTAGTGCAGTAGTGCTTGAGATGGGTCGATGGATTAATTGGCGGAGACGGAGAAGACGAAGTTGAAGGAGCCGAGCTGAATGATATAGTCGGGGCAAAAGGATTTAGTCGGCGACGACTGAGATGTTGGAGCAACGTGACTGAAACCTTTCTCATGGTGATATCAAGTAGCTTCCTTGAGATTGTGTTAAACCTTCCCAAAACCCTTGTCATCCATGAAGGGGAAACCACTCAAACCAAAACCAGAGCGAAATGGAAGGCAAGGGAGGAGTTCAGCAAAAACGCCGTCGTTGCAGTATTCATTATTACTGTGCTGTTCCTCATTAACTGTGCTGCTTCCTCAATAACGTGCGCGTGGGTTTATATTATTGACAACCGAGTTACCAAGGTTGGCTTTCACATAGGTCCCTATCTTATATGAAAATTGAAAAAAGTAGTATTTTTATTATGATACAAATACATGAAAAAAAAGATTTGTTCGCAAACTTTCAATTTACAGATGGTATAAAGCACATATTTAATATATATATATATAAATCATAAATGTGTTCACATGTCGATATCTGAAAAAAAAAAAAATGCCATTTTAGATTTATAAACTCAATATAGTATACTGACAGTCTGACACAATAATTTAATTTAAATCATACAATTTAAAATGAAGGTGTATTATCAAACATTTTGATCTAACTATTTCCATCATTTTCATATACTGGAGAGCTAGGCAGTGCAAAGAATATTTAACGATCTCTAGTTTTCATCTTCATCTTAGCGTGAGTCTCCATAATTCTTTTTCTGACCCATTTAAGAGTTGATTTCTGCCTGTCTAGATTTTTTCAATTGGAATGGATTAAAGAAATAACAACAGAAAGAAAGTCTCCACTTCAGCTTCATGACAATGAGTTAGGTGAATAAATTTTTTTTGGGGCTAAGGATAGGTATCCTCTCTCATTCTTTTAAAAAAAAAAAAAACCAATATCAGAATGTGGGATCTCAATTCCCCACACAGGCCTCTTATGAACGCTTATATGCCCTCCATATTTTAGTCATTTTATTTTTGTTTATATTTCTTTAATTACAGAAATCCCACCAAAAGAGGTCCCCACCCCCCCAAAAATAATAATAATAATAATTTAAAAAACAGAGAGAGTGTGAATTAGGACGCTTGTCATGATGAATGATAAATGTCTACATATTGTTTTCTTCGTTTTCTTACATTAGGAAGGCAGCCCTTTAAAGCCCCTATCCAAACTCTGAAGCTGGGTTTCACTCAGAATACAACCCAACAGAACAATTCAATGGATCTTTATCTACAGTAAAGAATATTGTTTCCATTGGTAGAACAGAAGACACAGCTACCATTTGCAGAGTAGGAACTCTAATACATTCCGGACACTCAAAGCAACAGCATTCAAACAAATAATCAGAGAACAGGCGGTCATCGCTCACAGACTTGCAGTGCTTGGATTAAAAGTGGGAGTTTCTGGGGGTCGGCTATAAATATCATCAAAATGAAGATTAAATTCCCCTGCCTCTAAGTCATCTGTATGTGTCGTCCTAGATAATCTATGATAATCTCTCCAGTCCAAGTGTTGCTCTTGATCATCTGAACATCTATCAGACAACCTATCATAGCAGTTAAATGTCTGGTGATTGAAATCTGGAGGCTCAAAAAAGCTTGCCTGAGCTTGCCCACCATGTGGTCGACTTCTAGCCCACCAATGACTCTTGCTCGACTCTGCCATATCACTACCCCTCTGATCCTCAAGTAGAGCTTCCCTGAAAAAGGGAGCTGACGTGGATGCCCCAAAATGAGACTCAGCTCGATCCCCACCATAACCTCTCAAGTATTCATCATACCCAGGTTCATTCTCCGAGGTCATCCAATACTCTCCGGAATGAAGCTCAGTCTTCTCAAATGGTTCTATTGGATCATGACGAGATCGAGAAGTATAGTAGCAATCAAGAATATAAAGATTATTGTTTTGATTGGCATCACTTGGCCACAATGAACCTAAGTGATTACCAATTTTGAAAGTGTTATGTGGCATTTCACTGGATATGAACAAATTTCTGTCTCCATTACTCCTCATGTAGGGACCACCCACCCACATTTTAGGACGGAAAGATGCATATCTGTTCCCATACCCTGGTAAATTTTGCTCTCTCAACGTTCTAAGATTCAGCAAAAACTGCTTCCCCTGAATATCTGGTTTCCATGATTGGTAGGTACTCTGAAAGCTGTAACCATAACAGGAGTCATTGCTATAAGGAATTGGAGACGTACAGAAACTTTGTTTCTACACAACACAAAGACGAGATGGCATGATGCCACATCTGTCTTTCAATAACGCATTTTTCAACAGCAGTACAGGTGAGAAAGAAAACAATAAGCAGAAGATAAAGTTCTTAGGCAGACCAATCCAAACATGAATAGAGTTTATGAGATTTAACTTATCCAGTCAGGATCCCCCAAAAAAAAAAATCCAGATCAAACATAAAATCTGTAATTTTCCAGTAGCATGAAAGGGAATAGTTGAAATATTGAAAATATCATCAGTAAAGGACAACTAACAGAAACAGATAGAACTTTTAAAATCCTGCATAGAGATAAGAGCAACTTTCTCCAGTATGAAATTATATGAATTTATACAACAGAAATTACTAAAGTAATTTTAACCTCCCTAGCTGATTGGTAAATAACAACCTAATTTTGTGTTTTCCAATATATTCATTCTTTTCCCCCCCTTTCCATTGACCACAGGCATTTCAGGTCCCCCCCCCCCCCCAAAAAAAAAAGGCATTTTATATAACCTAATGCAATTGTCAATGTAGGTAGAAACAAGCAAATAGGAAAGCGATCCAAATAAATATATATTTCCTAACATCTATACCTATAAACAGCGAGGCTCAACCTAAACAACCATGAATCATAGCGGTTCTAGACTTCTAGTCATAGTAGTGTTGTGCATATAACGAACTCAGCCAAAACAATACCTCAGAAATGATTTCTCCATCTTCCCCTGGGAACTCCTCCTGTTGCGAGGTGCATCGCATGGGGAACCATATTTGCCGTTTCCGTGGGCTTGAAAATCAAAGAAACTAAAACTGCCAATATTGAGGATATCACAGAAGAAAATATCGTACATCATTAGCACAACAACAAAAAATATTAAAACAAGAAAATAATCATTTTAGGCAGCCCCAAGTAATTCCCAGGATGCAAATCAAAGAAAAATGGAAGTTATTATGTCAATACCAACCTGCAAACATGACCAACCCCTTCAACATCCACTGTGAAATCTGCAATGAACTGCAGAATATCATCAACCCGCTGCAAATTGGACCCAAAAAAAAAAAGTTATGACATTATAATATATGGAGTAACCCAAGTGAAATTCTCGTCGAAGGAAGGTATTGACCTCGGGGACAACAAATAAAAGTAAATATGGAGTGAGGAAAATTGAGGCCATCTCCTCAAGTAACATCATCCCAGTGTACTGCACCATATGAAAATGTAGTAGCATGAGAATAAATAATATGCCATCATATAGACAACAAAGAAAAAGAACTCATAAAGGCTTGTCAAAATTAGTGCAATTGAATTAAACCAAAAATTGGAGAGAATACCTGAAATAGTGTTCCAAACTCAGTGCGGACCATTTCAGTACTTTCTTTGCCACGCCATCTTTTTGGCATATAGTGAGTATGTTGAACCACCATGGACATTGCTCCCTCAGGATCTAGAACAAGAAGCTCATTTGTCACCGCAAAACGGCTAACAGCTGTTATAGTTCCAAAAACAGCAGCATACCAAAACAAGTTTCGGCCAAATATCTGTAAGTTTTTGTATATAATTATCAATAACAGATATCGCAATGGGTAAATGCATAAAATCTTCCAGGCAAAATTAGCATAAATCCATTACATGGCCTTCAAGCAGAGATTCCTCAAGAAAAGCAATGATGATCAGAATTGCAGCAAATCCACCAGATACAAAAGATATGAACTTTGCAATGATTGATATAATAGGTGAAGGAAATTGCTTGAGATAATCAGAAGCATGTATCGTGCTGCTATTTATCCGATGTTTGAAGAGATGGTCCACCTATAGCAGAAGTATAGGTAAGCTCAAGCAATAGGATAAGAGAGATACAAGTTTTGTTATGTTAAAAATGATCATTAGGCACTGGCACTTACAAACTGACATAAAATTTAAACCACCATGGAACATGAATAGCAAATGATTATAATGTACTACCTCCGATCCTTAATATAAGAACTACTTGACTAATTTGGGTAAATTAAGAAAATTAGTTAAGTTAATTATTTGTAATAAATAGGTATTGTCTTTCCTAAAGTATCTTATTAATCAAGTATATTTGTTAGAACTACCATTGTTACAAGAACTATTTTGGGAAAAAAAATGAATAAATATAAGAGACAAAATGGATTGGAGTTTTATATTTAAGATTAAAATAAAAATCAAACGAACTTTTATATTAAGGACTGAAGGTAGTATAACCTTATCACCTCCTTAAAAACATCATACCTTAAAGGTGCTTACTAATAATGGAAGCCCTTCAAATAAGATAGCTTGCATTAGACTAGTGATTCTGAGGAAGAAAGTTAGAAACTAGGGGAGTTTGATATAATCCATGGAAAAGAATTCCTTTTCCATTGCATAAAAAATGAGATATAATTAATTAACACTAACTCTCCTTTTCAATTATTGTATCTTTTTTCTCATTCATGGGCACAAAAAGACATCTCCAACCTACAGAATTACCATTTTCTATCCCATTTCCTTTTACATTCCAGTTCATTTGCACACCAAACAGCCCTTAAGGTTTTATTATATTCAATAATTTGAAAAGAGAACTCGTTGACAAATTTAGAATATTTGCCAGGACAAGCATGCTAGTGATTGGAATAGCATCATCTGTCCAAGAGGAAATACTGGATACCTTCTCTGATAAGGATTTCTAGTACAATGGAATTCGCAAGTTAAAAACTTTACTGAATAATGTATATTTTTAGACTAGCAGGAAACCATGCGCAAAAGGCAGATGAACTGAAGGCTAAACTTAAAAAGAAAAAAAGAAAAGAAAAACGAAAAGAATAGAGATACCTCATTGAATTCCCTAAAGATCCACCTTGACAAATTTGACCACCTTCGAGATGATGCTGTGCTTGGATGATTATAAAATTGTTCAGCATGCCTCAGAAAGAGATACACCAGCATGAATATGACAAGAAATGGAGAAAGTAAAAGCATTGCAAGCCCAACTACCATAAGCCTTTTCTTCAATGTCTTTGGGTTGGACACAAAATCCCTTCTAACACAAAAGTTTCTGCAGAGAAAGCATGTAATCTTGGATTGGACATAAAATACTTCTAACACAGATGAGTACAAAATAACGAATATTAAGAAACTAATTAAGATACCATCCATAATAAGAAACATTGATAAATACAAGAAAAAATAAATATTTACTCTCTTTCCTTATTGAATGAATACTCAAACTAATGAAAGCCCTCCACATTTACATGACTTCTAAAATCTCCATGTGTCACCACATTTAATACTGTCTATAATAAAAATGCCCAGCAGTTAACTAGGAAGCAAGAAGCATTGATCAGAATACCATTCATTAGTTAATCTTAATTATAGTTAGGCATGTGAACTTAAATTTATAATGCGGCAGACGTATTATTTAATATTCAATAGTGCCAAAAAATTGCTTTTTTACATGCCAATAAATTCCAAGCGTAATGTCCAAAGTTATTTGGGGCATGTCTCTCTTGCAAGCCGATATATATACCAAGTTTAACATTCTATGAGCCACCATCCTACATCTCCTAAAAGGCCACTATATCACCGGATTAGCACGTCACCATTTTTCATAACAATTTGAAGAAAAACTTCAACAACCACTCCTTAAATGAAGTAAAATTAAAAGACCCACGTATATCCACACAATTTGTCGAAACAGATAATATGAACATGCTGAATATACATGAAAAGGAATCTGCATAGAAATTAACACACCGATCAAACATGCTTTGCAGGATGCACCAGTTTAAAGTCCACTCAAGGGTCTTGGTTAGTATGAGACGATATCGTGTTCCATTAGGACCACATTTCACCGTAGGACCAGCACCTGGGACCCACCGAGAAATGGGGAAAGCAAGCACCCCCTTGTTGATCATTCCAATCAAGTAGTTTTCTTTCCGCATCAGTCTCATCACCATTTCATGAGCACAGAGATCTTTTACCACACAGAGCTGCCGAGAACTTTGCACCAAAACAACCTTTTCAAGAATAGTAGCCCAGGGCATAGTTTGGATCTCATTGTCAGTAACACGGAGACTGCAAGAAGATCATGGAAAGTTATGACAAAATGATGTTAGTCATCCCAAAGTTGTAGTTTCTGTCTTAAATTTGAACGTTTATCATTTGTGCTTACCTATTGTAATAAAAGTGACGGATTTCCAGAATGTCCTTTAGTTGAGCAAAGAACCTCAAGAAACAGAATATCCAATAGATGGAAAATATTGCTAAATATCCAACAATAATAACCTTTGTAAGTGTTAGTGGGGTTAAAGGGTGTTGATGAATAGCTTCTTTACCAAGATCACAAGGCTTAATTCCTGATTCCACTGCATCCATCCCACACTTCGCATTGCGAAGTCCATTCCAATCAACATATAATAAGAAAAATCCCGAGAAACATATGGTAAATCCTAGACTAAGAAGTTCAACAATCCACTTTATAATAATGCACCAGAGCCCTTTCTCGCAGTAGTAGCTGTAAAGCCTTTCAAAGAAGAGGTCCAAGTCCGAAATCGGCTCTATGTTCAAACTCTCACCATTAAGAAGCCCTGAAGGGCTCTCACTACCTGGACTTGGAATCCTTCCATAGTCAGACAACTCAATCTCTGGTGGAACATCCTGAAGCAAACCTGTTGTCAGAGATGATCCATCTTGACGCTTCCATTTGAATATGTTAAAAACACTAGGACCCCTTGGCCTGATAAACATTGTTCACAGACACTGACAGTAGGCATAAACAGCCAGTCCATGACCCAGAAACCTGAATGGTTAGTGCAGGGTAAAGAGTCAAGATCAAAATATAACAAAAAGTAAACATGAAAGAACTTATTTTCAGATACATTAAGTGAATTACTGGAGGGGGCATTTCATGTCAACTTCAAATCATAGGCATCAATCTTTACCCAACTTAAGCTAAAGGACAAATATGTCAGTTGCAGACTTTATATGCCTGCGTTCGTTTTGACATAAACTATGGGTGGATATTTTGAAAACGATCAAATTGAACATATGACATTCACTCGGTTGAACCTAGCCTCCGTGCTGACAGAATATCCAACAAGAATTTGTATCTACATAGCACGAAAAACATTCTTTTTATTTAGGAAGGAGTTGGGCAAGAAATTTTCTAGTGCATAGAAACAAAATCCAAAATAGAAAGTCATAGACTATGAGATGACTTAATCAACTGGGCGCTAAAGTACGACTGACTAGCGAACCAGACTCGTCCAAAAACGAGAACGATCAGGCTGCTGATAGCTGATTGAAGCTTTTAAGCAAAAGAAGAAAAATGCTAAACCAATTTTGGTCAATAGAATCAAACCCCATCGAAGTAATTTAAAAAAAAAAAAAAAAGCAAACGGAACCATCCTTATCCATTGTCACGCATCAAGAAAAGCACACAAAATACAAAAATTCAATCGTTAAAGGAAAGACAACAATATCAGCTAACCGTACGCGGAAGCACAGGGTTACCTGGAACTAAGCAACACTCATGGAAGAAGTTAGGAATGACGCAGTACCGACCGAAATAGGTGAAGTACTCCCAGTAATGAAATTTGGGCAAAACCCCCCCTGAAAGTTAAGAAATTTAGGGGTTGAAACCAGTAGAAGGAAGGCTAATACAGCGAGAGAAGACGTTAATCAGAGCGGGGAAGAATACAAAGAGCATGAAGGCAAGAGAGGAAGAGGGCTTGATTGCGTAGAAGACGATGAAATTACAGTAACACGTAAATTCTTTTATTTAATATGACTTTGGAAGCCATACGCTGAGTTTTTGGGCCTCTCTTCGCCTCCTCCGTCAAGATTGTTTATTAGTGTAAGGAGACGTGGGGATGAGTATTACTTCGGCTTCCACCTCTTTATCTACCTCCTCCAAGTTCACGCCACTTTGATCTCATTCCCATAGCCCCGACCTTTCCGAAAATTGGGTTTTTGCTTTTTCTCTGTTCCCGGTAGATAAAAAAGTAACTAGATATGGATGTGAGGTTTATTGGAGCAACTTCCAAAGATTAGGGTTAAAAAGAGCCTATTATGTTAAAAAAATTTAAAAATGAAGTTTAGAAAATAAAAAATTATTAGAAGCCTTTTTGGGCCAACAAAACTTTTTAGAGGTCTTAATAAAATTAAAAAAAATTCTTATTCCACATCTCAAAGCCGAGCTGTGATAACTTGTAATATTGTTTATTCTGCTAATTTTTGTTTGGTGGTTTAATAAATGGTTGACTACTGAGATATTCTTAAGAGTGTTAATCTGTGAAATTATGAGATGCTAAATTTAGAATTTTAAAATATTTCAAAACTTTAGATGCAATAAAGATCTCCTGGGTTTTCTGAAAATAAATTAAGAAAATGATATCTAGAAATTTAAAATTCATAAATTTTAAATTAGAATACCTCAAAAATACAAATAGTGTTAGAAATTACAATTAAAACTTTGCCTCGAGAAAAATTAATTTGAACAAAATATTATATTTTTTCAAATTTAACATATTTATGAGTATTCTAATATTCTAATCTTGTTCGCTTATTTTGGTTAAAAAAATCTTGCGTGCTTCTATAGAAATTTGAAATGGCATAAAATCAAGAGAAGCCAGTTTGCTGTTGGGCCCAAAAAAATCCAACTATCATCTACTATCAACTATTATATCAATGACTTTATTGATCCATAACAATAAGAGTTGGTCCGACTAGGAAGAAATCAATTCATAACTCCTATAGTCATAAATTTGAATCCCATGTCCGATATGAGGGCATTATTTGTTGTAACAAAAAAAAATCTATTGATGCATAATAATAAGAAAATATGAAATATACTTTTAATGACCAAATGATTTTATACGCAAGTCACCATAATAAAAAGTGTCTTCGCTTACCTCTTCAGAATAAAAATTGTTTTTTAACAAAAAATATCGATTTTTTTATTTACAAGATATAAAAAATATCGATTTTTGTCTATCAATTTCTTAATCACATAAAGTATTTTGACGAATAAAATGGGGTTTTCTTCTTAAGTTACAGCCTATATAAGGTCATTTGGTCCACACTAGTGGATTTTATTGGGAAAATTTCAAAAAAAACAACTTTTAAAATTTCCAAATATCAAATCAAGAATAATTACAAAAATATGTTGTAATTTGCTTTTCAAATATTGTCAATTGTTGTTAAAGTGTAGTGAATAAGATTGATTTGAAATTTTAAAATTTAAAGATATTTTTTTAGATCTACACAGCATATATATGTGTGTGTACACGTGTATATTAGTTAGCTTTTTTTTTTTGTCAAAATATATCAGTCCGTTTAGATTCTTTATAATGCAACACTCATTTTTATTATATACTCCATCCCCTAAATGTAAAATTTAATTGATAAGTTGATGTTGATTTTATATATAAGATATATTGAATAAGTTTATTAATTTTTTTTAAAATTAACCCTATTAATATTTTTTTAACAATAACCAAGTAAGAGAGGGAGAGATAAAGAAAATTAAAAAAGATACTTTAAAAAAACATATTATATTAATTAATTTAACCAATATTTTTATTTTACTTAAACGCATTTATATAATATATTGAAGGATGTATTTATCCTTTTTTAATTTGTAACTGTAACACGGGTGGATCCTTTTTTTCGTTTTTTATCTGTTTCTCGTATCCGGCCTCAGATGTCAGATGACTGATTGGGCTGTCAGGCCCATTTAGAGGCCTCGCAATCTCCAGCGCAATAAACCGTCTAGGAGGCCTCAAAGTCTAAAACAAAAGAACGTTGGATGGGCCTATGTATCGAATCTCGAGGTCGACTGCCCCAAAAGAACTTGCGGGAACTAACGGGTCATTTTGGCGGGAATTCCACGTGGCATCGATTCACGAGAGGAGCAGCCTGGATTTCCCGCCAAAAGAAGCCCTAATATATAACACAGTCACTGCTCAATCTTCATTTCTGATAGAAATCTCAGATTCCCCCTCGCCGGAATATCGTTTTCCCGTAGGATGAGCTCCTCAGAGGCCAAGTCGTTGCCCTTCAAGTCTAAGAAGCCCCATATCTGCCACTCAGCCTCCAAATCCCAATCACCAGATCCCATTTCACTGAGCTCCAAAACACCAGAGAAGGCCTCACAGCTCTCGCACCGTACCAGAAACCGCGGCGTTGCGCTCTCTATTAGAGAAGTCAGGAAAGTCGCTGAAAGCCTCCAGGATCAGAAAGGCCAGCGGCAGAATCATGATCGTACGGGGCAGATCAAGTCCGCCCGAAGGAAGATTGCACCGTCTTTCGCTGAAATCTCCCCCCGCAAATCCAAGGCATCTGTAGATGAGCCCGTCAAGATGCCGGAAAAGTAGGATGTGTTCTTGGTGTTTTAGCTAGTAAATCTGAATTTTGTTCTGTTGTTGAGTGTTCGTCCTTGTCACGCGCTAACTTGTGGGGTTTAACCGCAGGTATGAAATTTTGGGTCAGTTCTTTGACAGCTTGGATAGCTCGATACGGTTGTTGCATTTGAAAGGTTCTACAACAACTTTCACGAATATCTGCCCCAAAATTGAATGTTTAACTGATAGGTGTGTCTCTCTCTTGCTTCATTTTGCGTGTCACATTGTTACTTTTTCTTTTTCTGAATTGTCGATTTGGAGAATGAGATCTCCTCTGTATGCTAGCAATGCACTGTTGGCTCATTTATTGATTTTATGCTGTAACTTCTATAGGAGATTTACGCATAGTCATCTGGCCCAGTTGAAATATATCTTTCCAGAGGCACTTGCTATAAAGAAGGTGCTCAGGTTTGATGAACGAACAAGTTGTATGAAGCCAGACCTCCATCTTACATTAAATCCCGATTCAAAGTTGTTTTCTGAAGGTGGAAATGTGTCCTTGCGAAAGTTATTTCGCACACGGTTAAGAGATTTTTATGAATCACATCCTGAGGTGCGACTTACTTCTTTTGCTATCAGTTCTTTGAATTTATATCCATTGATAAAGTTATTTATGGAAAGTGCGTTTATAGCTTCTTATTGTTCACTAGCTAGGCATCATGATCGCTGCTCTAATATATTCTGGAAGTTCTCAAGTTGCTTTAGATTAGTTGTCATATACTTTACCCCTTATTTTGGACAATTACTAGTGGAACATGAATGAATCTAAGTGAAAGCATGAAATTTATGGAACTTAACTGAATCTACTGCACCATTGATCAACTGCATTTTCAACAACCCCTCCTTTTCGAATGCGTGTATAAAGACCTAAACGATGCTTCTTCATCCAGGTTGATGAGATTCCAGAAGAAATGCTGCCTGAGCCGTTCAATCACCGTAAGCAAGATCGTCCTTTAGAAACATTGAGAACTACCTCCTCATCATTTGATACGATGCCATCAAATGATGCAGTTGCACCTCGTCGAGCTGCAGAACCTGAGAGCATGCAACATAATGCCATGGTAATCAATTCAGAGCCTGCTAAGGGCGAAGAAAACTTGTCAATGCCTGTTAACATGTCAAATGAAGCACATCATCAACAACCAGCAGTAGCCACTCATATGTCTCATTCTTTTAGAAGGCGCTTTTCTCAGAAATCTGTAAAAGATGAAGCAGATGGTGTTCAACAAAAGTCACCATCAGATTCATTGCCTCCTCAATCTGTCCTAGTTTCAGAATCAAGCATGAAGAAAAATTCATCAAGTGTAGACGCTACTATGTGCCCGGCAATATGTGCTTCTCCAGCTAATCTCAAATCATCTGGTGCTTCAGCTGCCACACCAAATAAAGTTGCTTCTACTCCCTCTAGGTTGATGACTCATACACCTTCGTTGCCTCCCCCTAAGAGATGTTACATGAGCCCCGATGATAGCCCTTGCAGCTCACCAAACAAGTTAGTTAGGCGTCCAACGAGTTTGAAGAAGTCATTGAACTTTGACACGCCAGTGAAAAATCGGAGGACAGAGAATGAAGCTGATGATGCTGGTGGCTTGTCAATTGATGACGATATTTATGATATTCTCCCGGAGGGTCTCCTCCAATCGGTATGTCCCAAACCTCACTATACATCGCTACATGCAGAAAGTTTAAGAGTCTCGTTTTTAACATTTCTACCTGGGCTGATTTGCAGAATTCCTAAAGAATGGTCATGCTATACTAAAAGTCTTGTATAATTCAAAAGTTGAACAATTGATATGTAAAAATGACCTCTTTTTCTTTGTCTGGAGGTTAACATATATGATAGGCTTTCTTTTTCCTTTTTCGTTTTTGTCCTTCTGATGATCGCTATTAGGTCTGCTTGGTTGTTCTCATCAACCGTGGAAGAGTTGATTATTTTCTTCTGTTTATTGATTAAGGGATCCTATGTTTATCCTTAACTTGCACAGATTAAAGAAAAGGAGAGAGTGGCAATGGAGGAAAGAAATCCGGCTATCTCACAAGCAAAAAGACGGAAAAAAATGATTGCCTGCCTCCCTAAGCTATTTAACATGATTCATCTCTTGATTCATTCATTGAATCGTTCTGTTGTCACAAAAGAGGAGCTTCTAAGCAAGATAATCTCAAACCATTGTGATATTGTTGACCGGAGTAAGACACAATTAGATGCAGTCAATTGTCAGATACGCAGTCATTTTCATTATGCTAAATCTTTCTCATTGTATTCTTAGGAGAAGTTGAAGAGCAGTTGAATTTGTTGCTAGAACTAGTTCCAGAATGGATATCTGAAAAGTTGGCTTCTAGTGGAGATCTGCTATTCTGGTGAGTTTCCATTGAATCTTAGCATAGTGCATTGACATGCAATGAATTGATTGCATATGTTCTTTATTCTAAACTCTCAACAATGTACTTTCGCTTTTCCTTAGTTTTGACGTAACTATCCATCCTTTTGGCAGCATAAATAAACTGCAGGACCCTGAGACCATACGATCACGGCTTGCAGAAGCAAAATGAGCTAGAATGTGACAGTGTTTCAGAGTAGCACCGCATCTTTTATTAAGAGAAGCGATGTACAAATACCCTTTTGTTTAGGATTGCTTGTAAATGTTTTATTTATTTGGTATTAGTGACGAGATGAGAAAAATTCACAATAGACCGGCTCAGCTATTTTGGGGTATATATCATGAAATTCGCGGATGGAATCATATCCTTTTTATTTACTCTTTAGCACATTGGCGACATACTATTGTGATTTCGCCATCATTGCAAGAACCCTCGAGACTTGTACGCACTATTCATGACTTCCAAGTCATAAGATCCCATCTTTCGCGACGCTACCTTGTTCAGAGCTTAACTTTTCTGTCTGCCCTGAAGTCGCTATCTGCGTCCTGCTTTCGTTTTGCTCATGTGCTGAACTTGATAGTTGTCGTGATTTGTAATCTTGATCAGTTTCTTTTCCCCATAAAAGCAAGTAAAGGCCGATGATGACGATGACTCCTCCCAGTATACTGAAACATCCAAAATAAGTCTGAAACTGCAGGGGTATGGTCATATGGACATTACCTGAAAAGCTTGAAAAGAAGGGCGAACATTACCTGCCCATGTGAAGCTGTTCCCCCATAACTAAGTACGCCAGGACTGACACTAAGACTGTCCCAAGGAGATTGAACATAGTCACGAAGACAGGTCCCTTTTGGTCCGTAGCCCATAACTGAACGAAAATACTCAAGCCACAACTTATAATTCCCTGCTAATGCCATAACACTTAAGTTTGTTGCATATTAAAGTTTAGACCCTACAATAACTTCAGCATTTTTTGCAGTAAAGCTTTACTTACAGCATATAAGATGCAATAGAGTTCGATTCTGGACGTAATGAACCAGGCATGGAGCTTGTGTTCAACGATCACAGCAAAGACTGCTGATTGTACTGCACCGATACAATTTATCCATGCCGTGAGCGAAAGCTGTGCTGGATATTTCTTCACTGTAAATGCCTACAACACAGACAGATTTCCCATGTCTATCTATATGATGATACTTTTCACACATCAATTTTCAATCTGAGAATGTTTGTTCTTTCAGGAGCGAGTCTTTTGTTGCAGCTCAATTCTGTGTTTAATGTATTGGTTTCCGTTCATAAGTTTTATGTTTGGCATTTCTATGCTAATTTTTAGCATTAGATATGAGCCTTTCATATATTTTTTTAATTCTAATGTATAAGAAAATTTTGTACCATCTAAGTTTATTATAGACAAGTTTACCTGCATTATGTAGAAGACAGACCATGATATGCAACTTGCAACAGTCAAAATAGATCCCTTAATCCAGTTAGGATGAGCAGATTGGGCTGTGATTAGGACTGGAGCAGCTTTTAAGTTCGGTATGGCGTGCCCTTTATATAAAGTCATAGTCAAGGCCCCAGCCAATGATAGAAGGGTTCCAAAGATCTTAGCTACCCCACGAGGGTTCTTAACATCAACAGCCTCTAACCTACGTCCAAAAAGACAAAAAAAGGAAAAATGGAGCTCTTTCTTCTATAGCAGAAAGAAATATGAAAATCGAAATGGTAATTTTACTTCATGTACTTTACCTGAGTGCAACTGCAATTATAAATGTTAGAGCTGATATTGTATTAACCATTGAAGTGACAAAGGAAGGAGAGGTATACTTCAAGCTTGCGAAATACATGTTTAGGGTGAGGCTAACCCTATTCCATAGTAAAGAAGATGCAGAAAGATAAATATCAGTCGAATTCAATCAAACTATATTTTGGTTTAAACAGATACAAGAATTCAACTTGAGTACTGTACCCTAAAAGGGAAAGCAAAAATAGCTCCATGAACATTGCCACCGTCATCTTCGGCCTAGATTTTCTGCCAAGATGATTATATGTCAGGAAATAATTGAGCACAATAGATCTTATGACAGATCTTATGTTCAACATGTTAATATGAATATTTCCACTAGTGCTCATAACAGTTGCAGCTCTTAAACTGCTAAATGTTCTGTGATATCATCTGAATTTTCTGACTGGGAAATCTGAAGAAATGGGGCTGCATATAAATGTATATTCGGCCATAAAAGGCTCAGGAGGGTATATAGGATATACCTTTCAAGAAAATAGGCAAAAGGAAGCACTACAATACCACCAAGAGCATGCCGGTAAGTTACAAAAACATGAAGATTCATTCCCTTGCTGAAGGAAGCCTCTATCTTCTGATAGAGAAGTGTGACAGCCACCTGAACAAAAACCATGAGAAGGTGAGGCCTGTATTTTCTACAGATCACATAGAAAGCAGTCTCCCTGTGAGACATTTCTTTATAATGATGAGAAGCTATAAGCTTATAATACTAATGCGTCTCTGCTTATTTGTGAAGTTGTCAGCAGAGTCTTGAGGCAGGTAAATAAAGATGAAATCTCTGCGTTCAAAGTATTCTTGCTGGTCTCTCTGCAATATGTATCAACATGGTAATGGAAAAATGACTCAGAAGGCTGATATTGGCTACGTCGATTATATGTTCCACTAAAGATGGAACATTTTATTCCATTAAAAGTAATTAGGGAATCCTAATATTTTGATGGCATTCTCAATTAAGTATTAGCTGTTCTAAGAATATATTTTTTAATATAATAATAGAAAATTCTTGACATACAAAAATACGGCTAGACGCAGCTGAGGGAGTTTTATTCTTTGCAAGGTAACAGAACCTATAGGAAAAATTAGCCCCCAAGAATCTTAATTTTTTACAAATCTTGTTAAGGAACTAAGAATATAAAGGAAGAAGTTACAGTATTCCATAGTTAAAAACGGATTACATAACTAGCATCAGATTTGATAATAGGACCCCTTTAAGATTTTACTGTCACACTTTGATATTCTTACCTTATTAGTTCCATGCAATGTAACTACCGTTAGATTGAATGATTATTAAAAAAAAAGAAAAAGAAGAAGTATTTTTTAGGAATTAAAAGAGAAAAACCTCCTTGCATGTATCAGCTTTATCACTGGCATGCCTAGTGACATGCCAGGAGGTGGGATCGCTGCTGTGAGACTTTATAGGACACGTATCCACCCACGCTAATATTAGTGGAGCGTTGTCAAGGTCAAAATGGACATTAACATAATGCATTATGGAATAAAACAATGAAAAATCCTGATGAAGGGTTTGCCCTCCATACTCTTGAGGGATATATTAATTCCTTATTCCTGCCAATAAGGAGGGATACCCTTAGTTTTGTACAATGATCTAACATTAGTACGTAGAAACCGCGCAAAGCTGATGATCATGCATATTTACATTACAAGCACCACAATATCTTCGTATAGAAATGAAAAAAAGCCAAGAGACAGACTTTATTAATCTCCATCACACTTTTCTTTCGAACTGTGATTGGTTGTTTCCTTACCAAATAGCATGCAGATAAGCAGAGGAAGTCAAGATATACAGTTGAAAAAGCAAGATATCGTATATATAGGACGCTTGTCGGCCAAAAAAAGAAAGAAAAATAAGACTTGATGTTCTTGACCCCATGATCTCATCAGCAAATTAAAGCCTTTGAATGCTTTGTTTTGTCCGTGTTAGATATACTCCTCTCATCTTTAATGTAAAAGTTATTTAACAAGTTTGGATAAATAAATTAGTTAACTACATCAAATCTGACATGAATTATTTAAAATGTTCATGTGTAAGTTAGATAAATTAGTTTTAAAAAATAAATATAAAAGATAAAATAGAAATCAATCTTTTAATTAACTGTTGCATATATTTAGAATCGGAGGTACTTTATTTTTTTTTTTAAAAACAGCTACTTGGTCCTTCTTTTAACTCTGGACCCCTTCTAGTGTAGTGCTTGCATAAAATGCAATGGAATTTATTCTCTGACCCATGTTCCTTTGGTTCTCCCTACTGTACACGGCCCACAATTAATTATATTTTCTTTCCATTTCAAGAAATATATCATGGGGGCTTTATTTCACGTCCCAAATGAGAATGGAATGATTCCCTCCAGGCTCCATCACCACCAATTGTCCATTTGGCATCTACTTTAATTTAATTTAATTAAACTATACTTTGAAAAAAAAATAGCAATACCCAGCTGTAGATGGTCAATTAGTCTAATCTGCAAAGCCCATAAATAAAATAAAAAAGAAGCCCAATAAAGTAATTGCTGTTCAAATGAAATTATTAGGAATTTTTGCGCAATTTAACCTCACAATCAAAAACCTTTTTCCCAAGATGCCAGAGACCAGAGCAAAGGGCCATGAGAGAATAATGTTTGTCCACAAATCAATGCTATTCTCATTGTCTGACAGATTTCTACAAGATGAAGCTGCAGGATTCCTTTATGGCCCAGAAGGTAGTTTCTACTTTCTATTTACAGGCGACCAAAGAGGTGACTTGGCGACAAGAAATCAGAAAAAACTAAACAACACTTAGTGCATACACTTTGGGCCTTATGCTGATTCCAGCGTAGACGAAACTTTGGGCCAAAGCCCAGTCAACTTGGACTTTAAGGCCCAAAAGATAACTCGACTTTAGGTTCGAGCGAGGATGGTTGCCCGCTTTCAAGTTTCAATATTGGAGCCCGTTATGTAAAGCCGCGTTACCTTGCACCCGAAAGCCACAACTTTAAATTTGTCTGTTAGAGTCAATTTCTACACATCTAAATGATTATAAAGTTACCGATTTTTTAGTTCACCATGTTTTGGTTTAAGATATCATGTTCCTTGATGGCGCCTGATATTTCCCATTTTCAGTTAAAACTGTAATTGATGTCAACAAGGGAGGAGTCTCAGACCTTATTAATGGAGAAATGAAAAATGAGGCTCTCTGGAAAGCCAAGTATGTCTTTGCATAAGCATAAACTATTGAAATATTTTTAAAATGAAGAGATGTGTTTTTGAAAAGTTATGTCTTTATGTAAATTTATTAAATTAATGAATTTATTTGAAGGATTGTGTTGCCATATAAATTAATATATTTATATGAGGGGTTGTGTTTTCATATAAATTAATATATTTATATAAAGGGTTATGTAGGAAGTTACAATACTAAAATAAAATACCCTGCATATTACATTTTATTTATTTAAATTATGCTGGCATGAACCAACATATGGTTGTGACTTTTGTTTAATAAGATATTATTTCAAAAGGTATCTCTTCAACTCTTCAAGGCATCATTTTATAGTCTATATAAAC